AAGAAAATACATAAGGAATATAAATAAAAATAATTAAAAAAATTAAACCAAAAGTTATTATTATAATTATTTTTATAATTACTAAGACTTGCGAAAATGAAACGCTAGAAGAATGGTCTGTTTGTACTCCTTTATCTTCTGTTGTTATTGATCTTATTTCAGGCTACAAATATAAAAAAATGCTTGAGATAAATGATTCTTTTCAATAATTCATTTAGATAGGAACAATACTTACAAGAAGGAACTTTAAGTGTTGTGCCAAGATGTTCGGTTGGCTGGCCACAAATTTGACTCTAATTTTCTTCCACAGTTTTTTGCAGGACTCTACGTCTGCTCCTTCATCAATGTGGGAATATTCGTCTCTAACCATCTGCCATGCTTCATTTTTTTCTCTGATCTCCTTTATTTTGTCTCTTCTATATAGGACATCATATTTTTCAATGATTTTTATCTATTCAATGATAATAAAATATAAAAAAATAAATAAAACATTAAACAAAAGCAGAATACAAATATTTTTTACTTACCAATTCGATTTTTTTCCAATCATCGGGTGTTATAGATGTTGCCATTTTTGTACACTAAAAACATGATAAAACATACAAAATTAAATTTAATTTATTTCTCTAATGCAATTTTAAATTTACGAAGATTTAATGAATCTTCGAAATCAATTTTATTGATACATTGTCTGATAAGGCAGATAGTAGTGAAGAAGAAAAAGCTGATCTGCAAGAGGAACTAACCAAAGCAAGAAAGAGATCGGTTAGTTTAGATTAGAGATGGAATCGCATGAAACAAAGAGTCAGTCTCTTTTTTAATCTTTTTCAATTAAATATTGATCATAGTCTGAATGTTTCAAAATTATCTTCGACTTAAATGTTTATAAAGATTAATTTTTCTTTCTTCTTTCTTCTGTAGATAGATAATACATAGACAAACACTTCAAAATTACTGCTCTTAACCGTGATCTTATAAATCAACAACATAAACGTTGAAAAAAATCTGAAAATAGCCGTGGACGTCAAAACTCTTTTTAATGTAGGTCAGGAAATCGAGAAATTTCACTCAATTTATTTCTTCTAAGAAAATTTTGTATCAAACATAATTTTTCGTCGAAGTTGTTTCTTTCTTCGTCTTTTGTCACATTAAAGTAAAGTTCCCTCACCTTATTTAATAAAACTCACCTGAACTTTAACAGCAAAGGAAATCAAACTTAATAATTGATAATTTGAAGCTTTGAGTAAATAACTGAAACGAAGAAAAGTTGATAAGTTCAAACTTCTTGGCTCCTTCGATGAAGTTTAATTTAGGTAACATTGACTGATCATCATTTTCAATTTATAATTGTCAACGGATTGAAATTAATGATTAATGATGATTATTACATGAAAAATCCAAATGATTTAGGTAAATCGCTTCAAAATATTTAGGTATAAAACATCGTGACATGTAGAACCCCTTTCAATTTGTTTTTTTAATTGGATTTGTTGTGTTTAAAAAATCTGATTCTGTCGAAATTGCACTTCCTTTGGAAATCCTTTCAACTTTAAGCAACGATAAAGATGTCTTACTTACTGGTGTAGATTAATTGGAGATTAACTGGAGGTATTAACTTCGTGTGAGCACAATAAGAACAAAATTTGTGTAAATCGTAAAAATCGTTTTATGCTTTCTAAACTCTTCTCATTGAAGGAAGTTCGACGTCAAGATCAAAAAAATTGTCTCTGAATTAAACTTAAATATTTCTTAATTTCAATGTTCCGTCGACTACACACTCGACTCGGGGCACTTCCACATGATCACCAACACAAAATTCTAATCGTTTAAACTATTTTATTCTCTGCATTTTTCTNGTTTTCTTCCTTTAAAACAGAACAAGGAATCATTTTTTTAATTAAACTTTCTTTTTTTACTTTCAGTTTGTTAAAAGCAACAAATTCGAACATAATTCTAAAAATGGAAACCGGAATGAATGGAAATTATACCTACTTGCGTTATTTTGGACATCGACACAACGGGTTGTCGTTTAACTTTAATAATTTAATGAATTGGAATCCTGGGGACATCAACGTGATCAGATTCGTGTAATTAATTTTGGATGCTTCCGTAAGCTGAAATCCTTAGAAACTTACAAGGTAAATATATGAAATTTGCGTCACATGTTTCATTTTGTTAATCTAAGAAACAAATTTTTCACAGATACCTACATAATAAAACAAAAACTGAAATCGAAGCACTCTTAGATTGCCTTGATTGGCTGGATACCATCAATGCCAAAGATTGAATCATTTCGTGTATCACGATCAGGCGAAATTTACGCCTTACATGGTTATAGAAGCCATGTGCAAATGGCGTCTCATGGAACGATTTGAAAAGATTGTCAAGTCATATGCTACTTAGTAGCTACAATTTAGCGAGTGAAAAGCATGGTGCAATTGGAACTCGTTTTCTGAACTTATGTCAGAATATAAATGCTCAGAGAGAACATCAACTGCTCGTGCCAAACTTGGTTATAATATTTGCAGTGGCACTTGTAGGATTAATAATGCATCTGAATCGTTCTCGAGAAATCGAATTATTTTTGATTTCTTATATTGATTTTTTTTTCAGCAATTTTTAACTTGTTAAAAATATTAGATAGGAACAATACTTACAAGAAGGAACTTTAAGTACGGTGCCAAGGTGTACACCTTCGGTTGGCTGGCCACAAATTGGCCTCTAATTATCCTCCATAGTCTTCTGCAGGACTCTTCGTCTGTTTCTTCATCAATGAGGCGATATTCGGCTAGAACCATTTGCCATGCTTCATTTTTTTCTCTGATCTCCTTTATTTTGTCTCTTCTATATAGGACATCATATTTTTCAATGATTTTTATCTATTCAATGATAATAAAATATAAAAAAATAAATAAAACATTAAACAAAAGCAGATTACAAATATTTTTTACTTACCAATTCGATTTTTTTCCAATCATCGGGTGTTATAGGTGTTGCCATTTTTGTACACTAAAAACATGATAAAACATACAAAATTAAATTTAATTTATTTCTCTAATGCAATTTTAAATTTACGAAGATTTAATGAATCTTCGAAATCAATTTTATTGATACATTGTCTGATAAGGCAGATAGTAGTGAAGAAGAAAAAGCTGATCTGCAAGAGGAACTAACCAAAGCAAGAAAGAGATCGGTTAGTTTAGATTAGAGATGGAATCGCATGAAACAAAGAGTCAGTCTCTTTTTTAATCTTTTTCAATTAAATATTGATCATAGTCTGAATGTTTCAAAATTATCTTCGACTTAAATGTTTATAAAGATTAATTTTTCTTTCTTCTTTCTTCTGTAGATAGATAATACATAGACAAACACTTCAAAATTACTGCTCTTAACCGTGATCTTATAAATCAACAACATAAACGTTGAAAAAAATCTGAAAATAGCCGTGGACGTCAAAACTCTTTTTAATGTAGGTCAGGAAATCGAGAAATTTCACTCAATTTATTTCTTCTAAGAAAATTTTGTATCAAACATAATTTTTCGTCGAAGTTGTTTCTTTCTTCGTCTTTTGTCACATTAAAGTAAAGTTCCCTCACCTTATTTAATAAAACTCACCTGAACTTTAACAGCAAAGGAAATCAAACTTAATAATTGATAATTTGAAGCTTTGAGTAAATAACTGAAACGAAGAAAAGTTGATAAGTTCAAACTTCTTGGCTCCTTCGATGAAGTTTAATTTAGGTAACATTGACTGATCATCATTTTCAATTTATAATTGTCAACGGATTGAAATTAATGATTAATGATGATTATTACATGAAAAATCCAAATGATTTAGGTAAATCGCTTCAAAATATTTAGGTATAAAACATCGTGACATGTAGAACCCCTTTCAATTTGTTTTTTTAATTGGATTTGTTGTGTTTAAAAAATCTGATTCTGTCGAAATTGCACTTCCTTTGGAAATCCTTTCAACTTTAAGCAACGATAAAGATGTCTTACTTACTGGTGTAGATTAATTGGAGATTAACTGGAGGTATTAACTTCGTGTGAGCACAATAAGAACAAAATTTGTGTAAATCGTAAAAATCGTTTTATGCTTTCTAAACTCTTCTCATTGAAGGAAGTTCGACGTCAAGATCAAAAAAATTGTCTCTGAATTAAACTTAAATATTTCTTAATTTCAATGTTCCGTCGACTACACACTCGACTCGGGGCACTTCCACATGATCACCAACACAAAATTCTAATCGTTTAAACTATTTTATTCTCTGCATTTTTCTTTCTCTCCATCAATTCCGAGGAAAGTTAAAATTTTGATATAATTTTTCAATGATTTTGAATTTCAATCAAATGTTTTGGGAGCATACGTATGCATACGGTGGATGTCTAAGTCTTCTCAGTACACTCATTCAAGTTGAACTGATTAAACGAAATTGCACCACACAGAAAATACGACAAGTTGTCAAAGCTTGCATTACAATCACTGAAATGTTGATCAACAAGATTAAATAAGATTTGAAATTGGATGAAACAGATGGTAACAAAATTTTTGAACATTCTTCTTTTAAAATTTAAATTCAATCAATTATTGAAATTATTAAAAACTCATTTCAATGATGAAAATCGTTTGGATGATCTTCAATGTCTTGTTTTTATCGAGCGTCGTTCAACAGCCAAAATTCTTTATCACATGCTAAAAGATTTTGCTTTAGAAGATCCTGACTTTCCAATCATTCCTGACTTTATGGTAGGAATCAATGCGGGACTTCCAAAGTCGATTGAAAATATTTTAAATAATAATTACAACACTTTGACTTTAGACAAATTTCAACGAAAAGAAACAAATTGCATTGTGTCAACGAGTGTCTTGGAAGAAGGCATTGAACTTCAAATGTGCAATCTTGTGGTATGCTTCGATACACCAAAAACTTATCGAAATTATGAACAGTCGCGAGGAAGGTCTCGCGATAGAGAAAACAGTGTGTTTGTAGTTCTCAATGAAACTTTCATGAAGAAAGTTGCTAATTGGCAGGAAGTTGACAATGAAATCAAACAACAATTGTTGATGAAAACGTTGGATCGATTACCGCCGAGTGAAGACTACAAATTGTTAAAATATAAAGAGAAGAGATTTGGCCGCCTTTCAAAACTCCAATTTCGGGAAGTGTTTTGAACAATGTCAACAGCGTCAGGTGAGAATTATTGATGATGATTTCTTAATACTTTTAATTATGCAATCATTCATTAACAGTTTATTGGTCTTTATTTGATCTTTATCTTAAAATAAGGATCTGAATTCAGACCTTTATCTTTATTTTAGATCTTAATCTTCAGATCTTCAGAAGTTTTATCTTCGCAGTTTATTCAACGCCAAATTTATTTGTTATTCGTAAAATTAAACGTTCAATAAATAATTTTAGTTGTTGGATTTTGTGACACACAAGTTTCGTTTCTGAAATTTAATAAAATTTACAAACATCAAACAAGAATCTTTAAATGATTTTCATTCATATTTTAATTTCTTCTTCGTAGTTTCGAAATCAAATTTAACTAAATTGACAATAAAAAAAAGTTTGCTGGTGAATTAAACAAACAAATAAAAAATTGATTTTCTTATTTAAATTTTCATTCAAAGATTAAATTTTCTAAATTTTATTATCACAAAATCTTGTATGAATTTCATTCTTTACTTTAAATGGGGATTTTATATGAAAGTTGATAAAGAAAAAGGGTTAAAGTTGTGGTTTGTTACTTCTAGAGCGTGTCAGTCTCACGAGACACCCAAGCCGTAGTTTGTCTAGTCCTTGGTGACAATCAGACGTTCATCGTTAAATCATGAAGGGAAAGAAGATTTTGGACAACTTATTTATAGCATGTGAACTGCCCGAGAGAAATGAAAAATTAATTAAAGTGGGGACTAGAAGGATGATATGAAGAACAAAAGTTTGTAAATCAATAAACATTGAACGAACTTTCCGCTTTAAATTTCTCTTATTTACATAAACTTTAAAATAAATTTTATCCACAAAATTCATAGTGTCACTTGCTCGTCATCATCTTTGGATTCTAAATCTTCTTCATCGGCAAGTGGAGTCTTTGGTGAAGTCGTTGCTACATGATGTGCTGCATCTTTAAGTGGCGACGATGTCACTACTCGATATTCCTTAACGCCTTTCTCAGTTATTGGCACGCACATGTCATCGATTTTTACTAGTAGAATGTTTTGATTCTCACTTGAAGCTGCGTGATTTGGTGACAAACAACCGACAACAAAGCCAACCATTCCTTCTTTTGGTGACCAATTCTTACGCCAACCCGAACGAATTCCAACACTTTGAAGCTTTTCATTCGGCCAAATCACATCAATTCGTTGATCGTTCATACAATCATAAACCTGAGAATTTAATTTCATTAATTTCTGATAATATTTGATCAGATTGCAATAATTTTCTCACCTGACTGATGTCAACAATTATCACTTTCTTATTGATACTCAAATTCGTGGGTTGAATCAGCAATTTCTCTTCAGGTTCATCAACTTCATCGTCTTCTTCATGCTCTTCTTTCCTCTCAGCTACTTTCACTTGACTTGTTCCCGCCACCGGACTTTCTTGTTCCTTCAACGATTCCGGGCCAAACTTTCCCGATGAATGTTGTGACTCGACACTTTCTTGCTTCGTCATTCCTGTCGATGTCGTCAATGTTATCGCCGGATTCATTGCAGCAATTTCTCTAAACGAATCTCTTTTGTTTTTATTTGAATTGGCAATGCTGTTAGTGCTGACCGTGCTTAAATTCTTCTTGCTTATACTTCGTTCACGTAAAACAATTTCCCGCTCAGCCATTTCAAGACGTTCTCGATTCAACAAACCTGCTAACAATGTTGAACTTGTTGGTTTGTTGATACTCGCCAAACTCCCGCGATTTCCTGAACCTTCACGGCCCGAAATTGAGATACTTTGTGAGCCATAAGACAAAGTTCCAGCTGTTTGCGATAAATTGCTATTGGCAAGAGTTTGCAAGTTGCCATAACAACTTCCACCAGTATTCACAATCTCAGCTTCAATGCCGCTACTGCAACCCTCTCGACATCTTTTCCGTATTCGATGCCACGAACTTAAAATCTTATTTTGAATCTTTTCCAATGTTATTTCACCGCCAATAATTTCGTTAAGTTGCTCGCTCGTTTCAGCATAAGAAGTGGTTAAAGGTGAAACATAAATTGGATAACCAATCGGTTGATCACATGACGAGTTAATTATATTCCTAAGCGCTTGTTTAGCATTCTGAATGCTTCCACGTTCGGGATTTCGATTGCGCAAGTAAATCAACTCTTGTTGCTGCCCAGCCCACAATCCTCGAACACATTCACGATTTAATTTAATCACACGAAAGTTGAGAAATCTTTTCGTCAGTCTTATTACACGATATTCGTCAGTTCCATCCTCCATAACATGTCGAAGTGCTAAGAGATTTGGCGTGCCACGTAGCACGGCATTTCTCCAGTTAGGATCAGCTTCGTGCGATATCACAAGCTCTCGAGTGTTTTGTTCGATAGATTCGTAGAGAGCATTGTAATCGTCGTACTCGTCGGGCGATAAGAAATGATCTTGATGAAGTTTCAATGACATTCGAACGCCCGGTGCAACGACACTGTGCAATAAATCCATGTCAGCAAACACCCACTCGTCACGTGTCGATGTGATTCGGAAGTCACCTTTGAAGAGTGAATGAAGACCATGAAGAAAGAATTCAACACCCAACGACGATGCACTGTGACTTGCTGTCGCTAATGTTCGTCTCGCAAGCAAAGTTAACGCCAAACAAAGCGAAACTAAAATTGAATCACGAGATGAACTTATGGAATGTGTGACAGCTGGCGATGGTTCTTCAATTGAATTTCCAGCAGTTTTTGTTTCTTTCGATGCTGATGTTGATCGTCTTTCTTGTTTTCGTTGTTCTTGTTTTGCTTGCTCCTTTTTAAGTTTCTCTTCTTGCATTTGTTGTTGACGTTTGCCGACACAAAATTGAATCCAATCCGAGTAAACTGTCCAAAACGAGTTTCTCGATATTCCAGCAACACGAAAATCATAATCGTCGTCTAAATTATGATTGAAAATTGGATCAAGATCAACAAATTGTCGTTCCAATGTTGGCTCAAGTGCTTCTTGTATTGATTGTGACTCAAGCCATTGTTGAAGTTTTGGTGATTTTATCGCGTAATAAATGATGCTCTGCAAAGAAAGTTTCAATTCAACTTAACTTAAACTCTTTTAAAATTCTTCTCACCTTGACGTAGTAAGAAATCAAAACTTTGCGAAACTCAAACACTTGCAACGTCGCAACTGCCGCATTGTCTGATATCGAATAACCTTCCAAAACATATTGAGCTGCAATGACTTGCCATGCCAACCATCTTGTTGAAAACATCGCATTGACACTTAACATGTGAGATAAATGACCAGGACTGCAACAGCAACATCCGTCGTTATCTTCCACACCTTCTGATATCGCTTCGACTTCACGTTGCTGGCAGTAAGTTCCACGAAATTCCAAGCCTCGCATTTGGAATGTGCAAAGGCCATTGCCGAGTTCGATGATGTGGATAAGGCAGTTTAAATAGTCTGACGCGAGAACTGATCAATGAGAAGAAGAATAAGAAATTGAAAATAGTTAAAATCTCATCACTCACCAAAACAATCTCCTTGACTGACATTTCCCCATCGACCCATCAACAGATCACCACACAACGAATGTTGCAAAGATCTCGTCAAATGTTCATAGAAAATGCTGTTCAAATTGTTATCATCGGCACCTAAATCACGCTCAAGTTGTGAACTTAGTCTCGTGTTTGAATGATCAATTCGTCGAGTGTTGTAATCGCGTTCCCAAAACTTTATTGGACGAGCGTAAGAAGTTATGAAAATGGCACTTCCTGCGAATTTGTTTAAATTTGTTTAAATTTCATAATAAAAATTTAAAATTAAACTTCAATTACCTAAAAATGGATTCAAAGGTGTCGACAAAATCGCACTAATTCCAGTTTGCAAGAACAACATCGCTGAGTGTGGAACTGAAAATGGTTGAGCGAAGGCATGAAACGCGCTTCCCCAAGTGATTTGCCATGGTGCAATGTACGTGACAACAAATTGAAGCTGAAAAAAATTTAATTCGATTTAATTGAAGATTAAAAACGGTTAAAAACTTTACAAACCTTTAAAAGTAAATCAGAAATCTTCCGGAATAAAATTGATATAAGAAAGTAGTCGAGTAAAAATGTTTCGCTTGCGTCTGAGAAATCAAAACTGAAGAATAAAATGCTGAATAACAAAATGAGGTATTGACTGTTGATATCTGAATAAGAACTTCGAAGTGCTGAAGAGAAAGAAAAATTTAACAAATTTCAATCAAATTAAAATTAATTTTCTCACCTTTTAAACTTGAGATGACAATCAAAGCACTTCCAAATCCAAATCCAAACTTGTCAGTTATCTTTGTCGAGTCGGCAGTGACTGCACTTATGATGATAAGCGGATACAAAATATTCTTCTCAATGAATCCCAAATAGACGAAAACTTGCTCAAACCACATGATTTTTGACAGACGATTCACTTCAAACATTCCGTGCTCGTGTGCTCGAAGAATCGGCGCTGCAACGCATAAACATGGCAAATGTTTTCTCATTTGCGGGACGATGTAATGAAGAGAAACTCCTAAAATGATTGCAATAATGTGAAGAACGAGATTTAAGTTTGGTTGAAGAACTTTAAAGATTGTGCTGGTGTGGAGAGCGAAGAAAACTAATCCAAGAAATGTACAAACGACTAAATCGTTCTTTAGACGAGCTGTGACTGTGCCTTGCAACTTCTTCGGCAATGGATCGTCCATTTGTTGAATGTTATTCAAATTATGATCTTTCGAGTCGTCTGATGTTTGTGAAGTTTCATTGTCGTCAGTTTTCGATGACGATCCACTCTCAACTTCACCGCAAATGTCGTCATCGTTATGCACAAGAAGTGTCGATTTGATGAGTTGAAATAAATGCGTAAAGTCGCTGCTTGATCGTGACAAATGATAAGCCATTGGAATCAACATCCCGCAAAACATCGACACGAGAATGTGCTGCGTGTTGTTAGACTCAACAAGTCCACCATAAATTGGCCCATAAAGAATCAAACATCCAATAATCGATCTAAAAATAGCCAAAAACCCAGCGAGAAGATTGCAAATCGCATTTCCACCAAACACATGCATGTCAATCTGCTCGCAAAAGTACATGAAGAATGTGTTGATTTGTGGAAATAATCCAATACTGAAGGCAACAGGAAGACAAAGGATCGTCCAATGAAGGATGCTTGTGACGGAAGTGAAGAGCTCGATCCAAGCAATTTCAATTCCATAAATGCTCGTGACTTTATCAACGTCACTTCTTGTGTGAAAATAAAAAGCAGCTTCGGTCTGATTGACGACAATCGACGACTCGTTATTCACGACTTTCTCATCGTCGTTTGCTTCCATCATCATTGATTCCGACGCGTAATGTGTAAGAAGCATCAAAGATGTCAAGAGACAGAAGTAAACTGGTCTTGAGAACGTCACAGTCTTATTGAAGCCATGAATTGGCGACGACGCATCAGGTTGGACACTTTTCAGCAGCGAATATTGCGAACCAGCAATCGTGAAACAAAACACAAAGGCAAAGATGTCGTTATAGAAATGATGATGAAGAATCCAACTGCCAAGAATTGCCACAAACGTGCACAAGATGATCGCAAGTAACATTTGATACATGTACTGATCACGATCAAACAACGCCAACAACTGCAAACGATTCATTCGAATTTTTATCGTTTTTCCCAACTTTAAGCCACAAAAGCGAATTGGAAATTTGTAAACTTTCGCTCGAATTTGTGGCTCACCAAAAATGCTTCGTTGTTGAACAATGTCAATCGATTGTGCACTCGAAAGCGAATATTCTGCTGATGGCGCTGCTGTCATTATTCGATAATATGAATTCATGTTGCTGCTGTTGTTGCTGTTGTTGTTGTTGTTATTACCGATGCTGTTGTTGTTATTGTTGCTGTTATTTGATGAATTATGAACATGTTGATGTTGCTGTTGAAGTTGAGTGATGTTGTTGCTGATTGTGTGTCCAGTCTGCGCCTTCTGATCATTCATCAAATGCATCCAATGGCCTTGATCATCAATGAAGCAATTAAAGTCCGAACTATCAATAAATCCAGCATTTTGTTGACTGCCCGAAGTGATGACAAGTCGTCCAGTGTTTGGATTACTTGAGCTTGTTGATGGCATTCCATCGGGAATATCTAAACATAAATCACAATCACTTGTTGGTGATTTTGGATCGACGATCACAAAACTCTGCTTTGGTTGTTGTTGATTGGGAAAATTTAAGTCGATTGTGTAACTATTACGACCGAATCTCAGTCTACGATTATGAACATCATTGTTGGCAACAGCAAATGTTCGTGGTCGAAATGAAGAGAAGCTCGTCTGATTCTCGTAGAGATGTTGATTGCCGCCGCCATTTGATGATGTCGATGGAAGAAATATTTGTGGTGTCATGTTGTGTGGGTCAATGGAATGATTGTTTAAATATCGAATGAGTGAAAGACCAGGCAACGTACTCGTCGATTGAATTGCGTTATTCTCAGGTATTCGATCAGAAGTTGAACGTTGTGACAACGTCCGTTGATACATTCTCGATGTTGGATATTGCTCTTCTCCAAAGCTGAGTTTTCTTATCGCAATTCCACTCCGATGGTGATGACCATGTTGCTTTGGTATTGCACCCAAACTTCGACCATTGATTTGCGAGGCACTTATTGACGACGACAACACACGATCACGATTGTCATTTGATTCACTTTTCTTCTTCTGTTCCTTAACTTTCAATTGATGATCGTCTGACGATTTGTGATCAGCAGCAGATGACAACTCGCCGATACTTTCAGTGTTACTGAAGCCAAAATCCAAACTGTCGAACCATTTCGTTCGTTTCTCTTCACTTGCACTTCTTCTTTCTTTCACAATTAAATGATCTTTTGAACTCGCAGCACTTCCTGTCTGTTCCCATTCATTCGATCCACTTTTATTTCGAACATTCTCAATTTTAGGCGTTTCGTGTTGAACTCCCGAAGCTTCATCAACTTTTACATCGTCAGTCGTTTGTTGAACATCACCAGCAACTTCTAAAAGTGGAGATCGAGAACCATTTCGATTTTGTTCATCTTCTGAGTCACTTAAATTAATTTCTTCTTGATCTAATCCACTGTCACCATCATTCGATGTCAGATCTTCATCAATCACTTGATCTTTTCTTCCTTCATCATCTTCTTCACTATTTTCATCGTCTTCATCCGATGTGCAACTATTTGCGGTCGTCACTTGAACACCACGAGGACAATTCTCATCACATTGTTCAGCTATTGGATAAACTAAATCACTAGCAACATGATGAAGTGCATTTGTGGTTTCGCTGATAGTCGTTGCTGACGATGAAGTTCCTGAATGTCCAGTGACTGATGATGTTGGAAAAAGATTTTGCGGTGCATTTCGTGAAAGAAATTTACTTGGTGGTGGAATTCCGGAATTTACTGGATTACGAATCGTTTTGCCATCAATCACTTCAACGCTGTTTGGATGTGGAGAAAGATTCGAAACCGATGCTGGCTTGCAACTCGTCTCCAAAGCCGCACTTTTGATTCGTCTCATTGATGTGTTTGTCGTTCTCGTCATTTGTCGACAATTATTTGCATTGTTTGAGTTCCTTCGATGATTCTTTGACGATAAAAGTCCCGACGTGCTTGCAACAGTTGGAAGTTGAAGGGCAGACATTGTTGAACTTGAATCTCTTCTTATTGGCGTATTTTGTTGAACTTTCTCACTCTGAGTCATGCTTATGCTTTGGTCACTCGTCAATTGAAGCGCCGACTTTGTTGTGTAAGTATCGACAGGTCCCGAGCCACTTTCTAAATATAAATCAGAATCAGAATTTTTCAACATACTTTTGGGATGAATGACAGTGGATGCAGCATTATGAAAGTGATGATGATGATGGGGGTGGTGGGGAGTGAAATGTCGTTGTCGATTAGACATTTGATAATTGTTACCATCCCTCGACAGCAGCACGCCCATTCCAATCTTATCTGAATCGAGTGAAACTTGCCGATGAAGTTTCGATGCCAATGATTGCGGTTGGAGTTGGACATTTGATGTCGATCGTTTCTGTTTCAATGATTTGTACTGTTGACGACGTGACGAGGCCGTGTTATGAAACTTTATTGACGAATTACTGTTATTATGTGGTTCTGTTGTCTTCGTTGTTGACGCTTGCGATGTATCATCGTTGCTTTGTCTTCCACTCCCTTCTGACTTCTCCACACTCAACTCGCATTCTTTGTCGATGGAAATTGAATTACTTGCTGTTTCAGGCACTCGCAAATTGTTATCACTTGATGAAGTTCTTGTCTGTTGTTTGCTGCTGTTATTGATGTCGTTGCTTTTATTATTGCTTCCACTCGATCGAGTTTTTCTCTCCGACGACGACGACACTTTCTTCAATTGATAATTCTCGCTGTTGTCACTCGATTCTGAGCTATTTTTACGATGAACATCGACTTTTAAATCTATCAAATATTCATTCATTAATAATCAAAATGAATAATTAACAAGTGCTTGTCATAAACTCACCAATTGTACTAGCTAAATGTTCTTGAAAATCTACAGAAACGGCACTATTTGCACAGCTTAACTCATCACTTTGACTGTGATGTTCGACTGATGTACGTGAGGAATGATCAATGGGCAGTGTACCACCAGATTCAATAACATTGTTGAGTATTTGAAGCTCAATTCCACCTTCGTCCTCCCTTTAAATAAATAATTTAATAAATAAAATTTCAAAGTTTGAAAAATTCATTTAAACTTACCCTGAAGTTTCTCGTTGAATTTTACTATTAGCAATTCCACTTCCAGTATTTCCACTACTTAACTTCTTTAGACTAGTCTCCGACAATGTTCGCGCCTTATCATACATCTTATGAAGTGATAAATTGATGAGCTTTAGTGTTGTCACCAAAACAAATATGATGATACAGTAAACGATCCATGTTGTTATGTTGGTGGGAAAGTACTGAAAGCGAATGAATGAGAATTATTTATTATTTAGATTGTGCAACGAAACACTTTTTATGTTTTTCTTCAATGAATGTATGTAAAGCATATCTACATAAACAGATATTTAAAAATAAAGGCACAAAGAAATTGAACAAAAGTGTGAAAAATAAATTGTAATGGAAGCGAATTTTCAAGTCTATCAAAATGTTAGGAGAGTTTATGGTAATTTACTCGTATAATTACACCGTCTAATTGAAATTAAGTTGTTCGCTAGTTTAAACAAGCAGAGACTTCATGGAGGGATGAAAGAGAAAGTATTTGAGACATAATGTGATGTAATGAAATGCGTGGTAAAGAGAAATATTTATAACGGATGATAATTAAATCTTAAGAGTGGATTTATTGTTTTGAAATGCGCTCCATTGCGACTGGATTACTCACCATAAAAATAATAAAAGGCAATGAAAGTAATATGATAAACAAGTAAAGATGAGTTGCGTTGATGAATAAGTTCTGCTCGAAAATATCGAATCCGCCGCAGAACGAGGCGAATAACGAGTGAAGGATTTCACGATTAGCCATAATGGACTCGATTGCGAGTTAAAGACTTTCTTTTCGAATCTTTTTCATTTCATTTTAGATTGATTTTCTTATTTTTTGACGAATTTTTTTTCTCTTCGTTTTACGACGAACTTTTGTTCTTGATTTTTCACTTATTTTGTTTGAATTCGAACTCTTATTGACATTGTATGAAATGACTCAAAGCTACGACGTGGAATTGTATTGGAATTTAACTTAATTAAGTTCTATAATATTTAAGAAATTTTTAAAAACAAATTTTTTTAGGAAATATTGAATTTCGCACAAAACCTTTTTTACACTGAGAGAAAAATTTGTTTAGTCAACACAAAGCTGCACGAGTTGAATAACTTCATGTTGTGTTAAAAGAAGAAAAACTTCAGCTCCGTGTTGTGCAAGGGGAAGGGAAGATTGATGTTTATGTTCATTGTGTTTTTGTTTATTCATGTTAATTTAATTGCAAACCAATGATTCATGTTTTATTCACTATTTCAACTTCTTTTAATGACATTTCTATATCACTTGATGCATATTAAAATCAATTTCATGAAATCAACAAGAGATTTCACTTTACCCCATCTGACCATTGAATTCATTCAAATTTAAAACGACGGTTGAAAAGATTCAAGAAGTTAATTTTAATCACATGCAATTTTTTTTATTATTTTTTGAATGCAAAAGTTTTACAATTAACAATTAGTGCAATGTTACATAATTGTATGCACGTCCATTCATATACATTGATGTACTTGATGCTGACACTCTTGAATCTAATTCTGGAGGTGGGTGGGGTGGTTCATATGATCTTTCCGTCATGAAATATGGTGGATAAATTGTAAAAGATGATTGATCACCAAAGAATTTATTCGTTTCATCATTGCTACGGAAAAATTCAAAAACATCATTATCCTTTAATTGGTCGTCTGAATTGTGTTCATAACTTTGATCCGGAAAGTTACTCAAGGGTAGTGAAGAAATTTTCGTGTCTGAATCACGAACGTCAATTTTAAATTCGTCATACGAATGATCACATGGAATTCCTTCTTTCGGAAGTTCATTTTGATTTTCACTCTCATAATTTTCGTTTTTATTTTCATTGTTTGGTGAAATTAACTCAAAATTTTTGAAGAATGATTCAGTCGTTGTTGGTATTAAATTTTTCTTTTCATCTTTCTTCATCATCATCATGTCATCTGGTACAACAATTCTCATGGGAACAATTTGTCTAGAGACAGCTACTGGCGCTTCTCTTGAAATCGCTGTTGGATCACTGTAAATTTTCGGTAAAACACTGACAGTAAATGTTTCTTCTTTCATCTTCTTAGGTGTTTCAGTGGTGCTCGTTATTTTCTCATTCATTGATGTTGAAATTTCATCAATTTTAATTGGAAGCTTAGTTGTTAAGTCTTGAACTTTGTCCACATTCTCCACACTATTTGCATTTATGTTCATGCCTTTTAAAAATGGCATCACTGTTTCTAATCTCAAAGCTTTAGGTTTTTTTGTCGCTGCTTCTGAATTTTGATACTTTTCCGTCTGACCTCGACTTTTTTCTCCTTCATTTAAAGGCACAATTTTAAAACCAAAGAAATTCAAAATCGTACCAATTGTTCTTTTCTCACGTTTACTAGCACCACTCAAAGCACATAAACTCAAGGTAATTAAAATCAAGAAGAAAATTCTATTGAATTTGAGATTTAACATGTTTGTGTCTTTCTCTAACCGCAATAAAAAGTAAACTAAATGTTTAATTTCTAAAGTGAAGCATAAAACCCAAAATAAAATAAAAATCATATCGTGTGTCCCCCATTTGATTACATGAACAACTTTTGAATTTGCGTACGACACAGTAAAAGGTCTTGTCGTCTTGGTAAATGAGCAAATAATAGCCAACTGATTAACTGATCATTTCAGCATGCGAATTGACTGTAAATACGTAGTTAGTCGAATGGCAAAGTCAATCATTTCAGAAAACACTTTTACTTATTCCAACCGCTTATTTTCAATCTCAACGAACAGAAACAACACGAGAATTTGAGACCAAGTAATCTGCCATTCCACGCACTGTTTCTCACGATTGCTTCTTCAACTCTGCGATGATGTCTGGAAGAATTTCATGTTACATGACGACCTTGGAATGAAGGAAGCATGTGAGTTGCAACAACTAATAATTTTTTCTTTTTTGCTCTTATTTTATTGACTCATTCACATATTTGCTGCGTTTGACCAACATTTTTATTGCACACGGGTCATTAATTACGATTTTGTCGTTTTGCGTTTCGATTAGCAATAGTAAACTATTTACGCTTAACAGCGAAATCGCAACTCGTGAGAATCCGTATAAACATTGTGAAATAATAATGAAAAGGGTCAACGGTCACCAGTCGCAATCTTATTGACAGTTATAAATTAAATATTTTAATAAAATGTTGCCGCTGCCTTTGCTTCCAATTTTCAGAGGCTTGTGAAACAATTTAAATTACTGAACCATTACAGAACACTGAACAACACTCAATCCTTTCACTTTTATAAGTAATACTTGATATTTCTTTTGTTTGTGATTATAAGAAATCTTACACTTGATTAAGAATTCTCTTTTTATGAATATAAACAACGATAATGATTGCGTCGGGCGGTGAATTAAATTTATTCATGAGATTTCTTTAGTTAAACAGTTTTCTATTGAAAATAAGAGAAATGATAATATCTGTCAGTTGTTGTTTGTATCGTGGAAGGATGTCTCGTGGACGTGGTGACTTGTTCAGTTTTAGGTGAATTGCCAAAATTTAATTTCGGGTAATGATTGACGATTGTTGTGTTTGTAGATTTTTGATCATTGTCTCGTTGAATTACTGGCTGAACCACATAAAAGTTTGATTTTGAACCAGAATCATCTGTCACATGTAAAATGTCTGGTTGTAATTCTTTGGTGTTGCATGAGCATGGCGTTCCATCGGCATTTCTCGGTGGATCATCAGGTGGTGCTTGCAATCCGAAGATATTCAAACGTCGAAAAGATTTTGAAATAAATGGGAAAGTTTTAGTAGGATAGTCTTGCTGTTTTTCAGCTGCTTCTTCAAATGAACTAACGAGCGTTAAAAGTTTGTAAAATCTTCCAACAACATCCGCCTTTGTTTCGAGGCGATTCTTTAAATCTTGAATATCAGTCAAAGGCTGCGGTGTAGATTTTTCTTGCGCCGTTGATTCATAACAATAAACCAGAAAGACGAACAATGAAATTAATTTCTTCATTTAGTTTAATTTTGTTTTTCTCACGTCTTATCACTTCCACTTGCACAAGTTGAATGCTGTGCAGTCAAATCAAAAATTATCATCCTTTCAAATTGTAAAGATCCCCTCTTCAGACTTCCGAAGAATTTCACACGGAAAGTAAAAACAGAATCTTGAAGGATAATTAATTCCATAATTATTTACGAGTTAACAGAACTTGTCCGTAAAACAATAATAAATAATTCATTCATTCATTTAATCTTAAGAAAGGTCATGAATTGTTTTCATATAAACGAAATCATAAGCTGCTGGTTTGAGTGACTCAAGCGGATTATGATTCCAAGTAAAGATCATCTGTTGTTACATTAAATAAATTAGCAACTTGATTTAAACCTTCGCTTGTTATGTTTTGCGCTTTAAAATGTAACAAGAAGGCACAACGAGATAAACTGTTCAAATGATGTTAAAACGAAACCGAAATTGCTGTCGAACATTTCATGGAACGCGATTTATGGACACGGTAAAGAACTTGATTTCGTGAGATTTTACAAGCCATGATTAATTTGAATTGGTTCAACATTTAAATTTTTTTTGTTAACAAATTTGCTCTTATCTGTTAATTAATCATTTTATTGTTTTCAAAGGTTGAAATATTAATAAATGTTAAAATTGTTGTTTTAACAACATAACTTCTATTTTTTTATTCTGCTTGGATTGATTTATAGCAAATCTTAAATCAGTAGAAGCATAAATAGTGCTGAAAACTGTCTGAAGGTCACAAACAAAGCTGTTTAATGAAAGTGAAACTCGGAAATAAAACCAAAATATTACCGAACTTTAAACATTTTAACTTCTTTAAATTTTATCATTAAAGTGTCGTTATCAATTGAAACGTGTTATATAATTCAACTGGAAAAATGCCACTTTTGTCACTTTACGAGTTCTACAAAACGTGACAAAAATTTTATTAAAGGAAATTTTAAATTTGCTTCTTCTTCTTATGATTCACTTGTGACAAACATTGCGCAACAAGAGACGTAACAATTCTATACATTAAAGAATCAGGAATTACAATCAAACATTACTTTTTATCACAGCTTATGTCATTTCTAATTCGCTTTCATGTCTATCATGCTTAATACATCAAACGAATTTAAACTGTCGCGAAATAAACGAATAAATGTTTTTGGTATGAACAGTGAAAGCATTTAAATATTAAAATTAAGTCAAAACAAATACAGAGTCTCATGTGGCAAGAAGAAATGGCAAGCGATTGATAATCGACGGCTTGAATGTTAATGAAGTTCCTACTGATTTTTATTTTACGACAATTGATTATAAATATGAGTTAAACTTTACTTTATCAGACAGTTAACATTTCAAATCGCACCCTGCAAACATCGCCGCGATGGTTTCGAGAAACTTTTTGGTCGTTTTTGTGATTTCTGTAGTTCTTCATCATGCAATTGCATTAAACGAAAAAGTTGATAAAAGTGAAGTAAAAGATGAGAAAAAAGTTGCAAAACGTGGAGTTCTTCATTATTCAACACATGGCCACATTCATCCTGCTGTAGTGTCAGCTTCGCATTACCATCTACCACCAGCTATTGCGAAATATCCGCTCATCCAAAAACCAATCTTTCCTGTTCCAGTTGCACCACCAGTGATTGCACCTGCTGTGCATGCAGTTCATCCACACTATCGTTTAGTTCCTGGAGGTGCATCAGTCACTTCGTTTAATGTCAATTATCCAAGATATCCATTACTAGCTCGACCATTAGCACCTTTCATCCCAAAACCTGTCATTCCAGCAGTTCATCATCCGGCAGCGTGTGGTGCGCACTTTCATCCAACTTTTGTAGCACCAAAACCTGTTGTGCCAGTTGCAGTTCCATACCCAGGAATTCATCGTCATCCAAAGTATCCCATAGTGTTTCAAAAACCCGTCGTTGGCGGATTCTTTCCACCTCAATATGTTCCATTAGCAACACCAAATCCAACATTTATTCCTGTAGCTGTTCCAGCAAATCCACAACCAGCACTTCCACCAATTGCTGTTAATCCAGGTACTCAACACAACATGAATCCATTTGCAGTCAATCCAGGCACCCAACACAACATGAATCCATTTGCAGTCAATCCAGGCACCCAACACAACATGAATCCATCGTCACAATTTCCGCAATCACAATTTCCTATGCCCACCCAACCGACTCTACAAATACCTACAATGACCTCACATAGTTGGCGACCAATTATGATGATGATGACACAACATCGTCCGCAAACCACAAAACCGATATTCACTAATAAACATCCACCATACAATTATCATGCACCACGGGTGCCCTTCAATCATGAACAAAGATCACCCACGAATGGTATAATTTCAGGTCACGGACAAATGTCGGGACATCTTGCACATCAGTTAGCACTTTATCAGCATCAGCAACAGCAACATCAAAGTAAGTTGAAAGATTTGTCTAATTAAATGTTAATCTGATAAAACTTTTTGTTACTTAGACAATTTCCCTTACCCAGCAGCAGCTGAAACGTTCCATCAGAATTATGATCATGCAAGTAACGATGGACAATATCATGGACTGTCGAGTTATCAAGTGCCAATTCATCATTAATCTTATGAGGTTCTCTTCATTAATTACGTGCCAAATTATGACTTAACATTATCAGAATTTATTTATATTTGTTAAATGTGAATCTCCGCAAGTTGAAAATTGTTTTTGTCTTTAAGTTTTCTGTACAAAGGAGATTAAATGCTTTTTAATAACATAAATAAATCATAATAAATATCTATTTAATGTTTTTATATTTGTTTGGGATTCAATTGAACTGAAGCATGACGAAACTCAATAATGAAAGTGAAACTGAAGTTTCCATATATTTATCTACCCAGTTATGTTCATAATAAAGTTGCATGCCTGGTAAATTGATACGTGAATTAAATTTAATTGAAATCATTTACTTTTCTTTTTATTTATTCGTTTCTATTTCTTTCTATTCTTTTTGTTGTTTGTCGCCATGCTGTTAACAATGCTGAATACTTTTCAATGTGTGTAAGAAGAAATTTTAAGACCATCCCTTTAAATATTATTTTTAAATTCCTTCACACACTCTTCGTGTTCATGTGCTCCTGGTCGTAATTTTACACTTTTTAAATTAAGGTTCCCATGATCTTACAGATCATTTTCCCAAGAAAGAGAATTCATAAAAAATAAGACAGGAAATATTTACAAAGGCATGGATTCAGGTAGTGATGGAATGTCAAGGGCAACTTAATCTTTTTCTATACAAAACATAACAAGAATTCCCAAACTTCACTCCTCATTCGAACCTGAAAATTTCTGTGGGAAAATTTTTGGGATCACCAAACGAGAAAAAGGCTCGACTTAAGTTTTTTTTTCTCGTTTTTTCATGTGAAACGAAACAATCGAAAGACTCTGAGATTATTTTTTATGGATAGTTAAGGATACAATTTTATTCTGATCATTTAAGATATTTACAAAAAAGAAATGTAATAAAATAACGATTAAATGAACATGATGAAGGAAACGAGTTTTTAGGTACAAAAAATTACGTTTGAGTCACATAGTACAGAAGACGATGCGTGGGAAAGGTTGAAATTTGGACGATTTTAAAGTTTTAATGGTACAGGCCACCATAATATGGAGAACCGAGATAGGATCCATGAGAACTTCCCAAGTAAGAACCTCCCAAGTATGAACCTCCCAAGTAAGAACCTCCCAAGCCACCACTAAGTCCACCATAGCTTTTGTATGCGTATGGGTAACCACTGCTGTATCCACTGCTGTAGCCATATGAAGGGTGAACTGAGACTGAAGAATATCCGCTATAAAGTGGGCTGCTGTAAAGGCTTGGGCTGCTATAGACTGTTGGGCTGCTGTAAACGCCTGGGCTGTAAAGACCCGAGCTGTATCCACCATACCCTCCATATCCACCACCATACCCTCCATATCCGCCATATCCTAATCCGGTGGAATAAATTCCACGTTTTTCCGTCTTTTTCACATCTTCATCAGCAACAACAGCTGAGACGAACAAAGCCATGGCAAACAATGCAATCTAAATTATCGTAAAAATATTTGTTTTTTTAATAAACTTTTAAACAGTTCACAAATCACTTTTGTTCTTAAACTTTTGTTTCTTTTTTCTTTTTTTTGTCTTGAAGTAAAACTTTATAAATTAAAACACTTACGAAGGATTTCATGATGAATGAGTTTTCTTAAGATTTCGATTTTCTTGCTGATTTGCAAATAAAGTCTGAAGTTGTTATGATACTCTTGGACTGCTAACGTTTGCTATTTATACAAATTTTTTTCTTCTCTTCTAGCCCCGTACATCATTACAATTAATGAAAAAAAAAATCAAGCAACCCAATGCCCATTTTCGCTTTAGATTTTCAGCTTCTTTGGGGCTGAGAATAAAGTCAGAGAGTACAACAATGAGTTTTTCACGGTTTTGCTTCTCTCGCGTATTTTTTTCTTGGCTTATTCATTCGTTCTCTTCTCACTTGCATTTGAATTTTTCATTGCATTTCAACGAAATCGCCTTTCAAGTGCTGCTAAAAATTCCTTCTTAATTTATGACGAATAGCAAATTGCATAAGCAAAAGTTCATTGACATGAAGCGATGTGAAGCAAGAAGGGTCGTAAGAAGAAATTTCACTTTCTTCGTCAATCTTCGGCAATTTTCGTAAAACGAAGACGTGTGAACATCTTAAGATAATTTTAACCCTTTTATAGTCAATTATATCAAGAATTTTAAGACGTTTGGAATAGGCTAACATGAATCTAAAGGGATCTTCAAGTTTTTCTTCTCAACATTTATTTTAACACACATACACACACAAAGCATAAAACATAAAGTAAGAAAAGGGCAAAGAAGGGAAGAAGTTCTTATGCAGGTAGAAAAGCAAGGAAAGGCGGCGACTATTTTAAAATTCCCTTACATTCAAATCACTCGAATCCATTCACACGACGAACGTTGCCTCGTTCATTCGTTTGTTCATCAGACATGAGTAGAAAAGTGTCGAACATAATAAATGCCCTTGACAAGGCCGTCACAATTTAAACAAATAACAAGACAATATTCAAATTGATAGAATTCCACTGTGGAAAATTACGCGAAGGAAAATATTCCAATTAAAAATTCATTGTTAATTCGCTTCACAAGCTCATTAATGTCTTCATCTTCAAGCAAGAGTCAAGATGTGTGTTTGAGTGTTAAGGTCGTCGTTGCATGAAAAGTATTCAGATATTCTCGTGATTATTGTTTTGTGAAATTTCTCATTCGTTTTCCTGGTTTTTGCTTTGATTTTCTCATGCAAGCATAAATGTGACACAAGAACAAACATTCTGGATGATTAAACGATTCAATGGGAACCATTACGAAGCCTTGGTTTGTTGATTAGCATGTGATTTATTCATGTTGTAGTTATTAGTGGCAGTGAGAGAATAAAATCTTATTAGTCATGATGCCAATTAAGAATCAATCTGCCACTGCGATTAGGTCATAAGATTCGTGTTATTATTATCTATTTATAAGTTAGAAGTTTTTATTTTATTTAATTTTCCTTAGGGCAGCTCAGAAAATAAAACCGCATAACATCAATCACGTTTGCATGTCCCAATTTAAATTAATGGCGATTAATCACCCTGAGTTGTTGATTGATAAAAGTATCGATAGTGTTACAAAACCTCGAACATATTTCGATGTGCTTTATTGGTGAATTATTTTTGTCTGGCCACATTGGCCATGAACGTTTTAAAAGACTCAAAAGAAAAACAAAAAAAAGTCAAGTTGAGGAAATTTGTAATTGGAGTGCAACGAAGCCTTTTGACATTGCATTAATCGTGAGCTCTGAAACTTTATCTCATACGAATTAAGTTGCGGACATGATGACAATAAAACTTCATCACTTTCTGAAAATCGAGACCCGTGATCGCGTGCTTAATACTTGATGCTCACATAAATTATGATGAGAATTCGAACGAACACGAGTTCAACATAGAAAAAAGCTTCTATCTAATTATGAAATAAAATCTTCAGCCGGATATTTCAGTATTTCAATTACATGATGTTTTTTCAATGAATACAAAAATATTTTGCGACATTGATAGCTTAATTGCATGAAATTATCTTCATAATTTGGATAAACTTATACTGAAAGAGCTTTAGTAGCAAGAAACGTATCGAATGTGACGGTTTAGTAACTAAATTCAGTTAGGGAAAACGTTTGCTTCTCTGTCTACTCTGATTCAAACTAATGGAACGACCGACCAATTAAATTAGCGTGAAAATTTTATTACAAGTACAAGGAAATATGATTTTTATTCTTTTTTTTAATTCTTTGCTTTGTTCCGCAGTCTAGAAATAACGTTGCTTTGAATTAAAAGTCTGATTTTTTCTCTTAAGTTTAGATTCTAAATATTTTGAGCAGGTGTTGAAGAATATTGTAATCTAAACTTAAGAGAAAAAAACATTTTCAGGTAATTGAATTCATGAATAATTGAAGGTCAGAGTTAAGGTAGACAAAGCTTTGACTCAATAAAATCATAAGAACAAGAACTATTCTAGATATGTTGTATGAAAGTCAATAACCTGCTGTGAATAGACAGAAATCCGTTTCTTCAAATGAATTGTGATATTTAAAATAATGATGATGTTGCCTTTGTGCTTACATCGCACGAATTTTTTTTATTTGACCATTTTTTCCCTCGCACAATTTAGATTTTCAATTATTTAATTTATTGTTTAAAAATTGATATTTTATTTTTTTGTTCACTTAATGTTTACAAACATTGAACATTTATGTGGTGCTGAGCATAGTCAAACGTTCATTAAGTTGGAGTTGTGTCTTGATTAGTTGTGAGAGAGTCACGACCATCAAAAGATCTTTGACGTTCGAATTGAACATCGTTGCGAACTGATCATGTGTCATGTTGGGAACGGAATGGATGAGATCCAAAAGTGAACGTCCTACAGCATTGTCCGGTTGTTGTTTTTCATTGAGAACTTCTTCAACATATTGAAGGACTTGATTGAGAAGCTCCAGCAACTTCCCACTTGCTTCTGAGATTTGAGCCAAATCCATCATTGGTTCGACTTGCTTTGAGCGTGTTCCAATGGTTTTTTGTGCCAATTTTAAGGCAACTACTTCTGGTTCATAACACACACTTTCGACTTTGATTGGTGTGAACATGCAGCCGGGTTTACCTCCAGGTACACCAAGTGGAACACAAACGTAAGCTTTCAAGCCCATACGTCCTCCTTGCAGTGATGTATCGACAGTCAAATGAATGGGATTATTGCACTCACGCTTGTAGTATTCATGGATAATAGAGCTATGACTTGTAACTTCATTTCCAGTAGCCCACCAGCCTGAAAAATCAAATATAAACAATAACAACAAAGCAATAACCTCAGACTTTCCTTTCACTTACCGAGAATAGTCTCTGCTGAATTTACACGTCGATTTAACTCGTAGACATCAGAAGCAAAGTTGATTTCAGCTTCTACCTGATCAGGTGTTTCTTTGTGAGGCACACAGAAGCAGTTTGTTACTTCAACGACTCCTTTTTCAGTGGAACCTTTAGTAGGAAAATTTAATTTTCAAAGTTCCGCTTTATGCTTTATGTTTCAGATTTATATGAAATCTGTATAGCTTACCTAAGAGAGTACCAATGACACGATGAGAATCTGCATTTCTTCGTTCATAAGCATCTACTATTTGAAACAAAACCACAGGATGAATTTTTACCGTCAAATTTAGAGCCATCGTGTACGATTTTTAATACTTTTCTGAATGTGATGCACGATTGAGGAGTAAAAATGATGCGAAAAATCACTTCAAAGTGTCTTGGCTATAATATGAAGCGACGCTTTAATTTCAAATATGAACCGTTAGAATAGATATTTTAAACAAAAAAAGTCTGAAATTTCAAATGAATTAGAATTAAATAATATGAAACTTGACATCGTCGGGTCAAACTCTACTTAAATTTAAATTAGAGTTTAATGATGTTTAAACACAAACAGCTACCAGAAAAAATATTTATTATGTTCCATTATTTATGCTTTTTAGTAATTCAATCTTCATCCCAAATGAAATCGTGCTTTAAATTTTTGATTTGAAAAATCAACAAAATCATCAGACTAAAGCAATTTTATTTTTGATCAAGAGAAAACAAACAGACATAAACTTAAAATAAGTTGCCTACAAAATTTCTAACATGACATTAAAAGATTAACTCAGGTATCCAATCGAATGTCTAAACATCTTCATAACTCATTGGCATTGTTCGTTTTCCTTTTAAAAACATAATTAAATAGTCTACGAAAATAAATAAACGAATCATCAAGAGAATGAAATCTTCTGTCGCTCGCATTTCAAATTAAAAAACTTTTCAACTCATCAACTTTATGTTGCCGTACAAAAAATTTTCTTTTGTAGTAAAAGATTGTAGATATTTGAAGAATGTATTTGAAGAAGCTCTCGAAACTGATCAGCTACACTCGAAATGTTTGTGATGGTGCCAAATCTCTCATCTCTTTATAAACGATCCTCGCATACGATGAATATTCTTAGAAAGAATTCAACAAGACTTGCCAATGTATTCTTCTAACGAGACGAAATCTGATGCTGTCTGTAGCATCCATGACTTGAACATGTGTGAAAAAATTTTTCACTAAAGAAAATGTTTAATATTATTAAAATTTTCTCTCCTTTCATTCACTTCGTTGGTGCTTTTCGCGCGGTTAACACTTTCGCGATAGAATTATTTGAGCTCGAATTGATCGTGAAACTGAAAAAAAAAAATAAAAATCAGACTAGAAGTGAAAATTTTGCTTTGTTCTACATATTTAAATAGTGGAGAAAAGAATTTCTAGTTCAGTAGATAGTTTAATTAACTATAAAAAAAATTGTCGATGGCAGCCTCTGTCAACGATTGGAGAAAGCCATCAAGGTTATTGCAGGATGTGAAAACTAAATCCATTGAGCGGACATTACTGCCATTAATCAAACAGGTAAGAACATTTACAGCTGTAAACTTCTTCGTCGATGAAAATAGTTTTCCTTCAATGTTTCAGTTAGTGTGAGAAATAGGAAATTTGGAAGGAAAATGAAAAAAAAATCAAAGTTTTTTGTGAATGAGATGTTGATGGGAATCATTCTCGTTGAATGTTTCTCGTTCTATTTTAAGACACTATCCGGTTTTTCTTACTCCGCTATGTGTAAACTATATTGGATTTTGAATACATTGATTTCATTTTCCGTTTCCCTTCTCTTCAATGTTTGCCGAATAACCCATTCATCATATCATAATTTCTTCTACTTCGCCAATCATAAACGGATGAAAAATAAGAGAAATTTCTCATTTTTCTGCTTAAAATTTGTTTGTTGTATATTTTCTTATGATATTCCTGGCCCATAAATTTTTCGTTTTTCTCGTAAACGAAACAGGCTTGGGGTGGAAGCATTAGAACGAGGAACATTCACTTTTAAGCTCTCATGTATCGACGAAAACAGCATTCGATGATGACAAAGTGAAAGACGAGGAATTTTTCATCTTTGCGTTTAGCGTGCTAAAAATAACAAAAAGAATAATAAAATAAGACGTGTATACGACGCCTTTTACTATTGCTCTACGATCAAAATATCTACTCACTAAAAAAAAGAATCAACATTCATCATTTTGATTTTTGTTTCAAGTCCCATTTCTACTTTAATATGTATGACAGATTGTGGACTTGTAAATGTTATTTTGAAATGATACACAAACGATATGTTTGTTAAGAGATAAATTATCTTGATTTCTTTCCATTTTTCCACAAACGTATGCGACTGCGATGTTTCTTTCTATATTCAACAAAACAAGCTTACACATTTCTTAGTTTGAAATGTGTTCTTCTGAACTAAGAATATTCTTCGGATTAACATGCAGTGCCACATAATAATAAAATAAAGAAACATTTTTATTGTCGACTCAGTACATTCTTATTTTTCATTTCTACAAATTCTGCAAGTTTCGAACAAAAAAAATTTGTTCGTCATAATAATTTCATAGTTACGTGCGCCAAAGAAAAACAAAAACAAAATGAGATTCTCGTCTTTTTTCCGTCGGTGCTAATTAATTGTGATTAATTATTTATTATAATTATTTATTGTTGTGCAGGGAAAGTGTCAGTATCGTTGTCAAAGTAACATGAATGTTTGTCTGTGAGTATGTTGTTGTATCGTATGAATAGTCAAGTTTATAGCACGGGTTGTGATATGGTGTCAGAAACGTTTGACAGTTATTGGTTCATGTCTATCGCAAGCCCATGAGACAAAATGAGAAGAAAAAAAAAGTTTTCTTTTTGCGAGTTGGCTGTTCTGGTTCATCTCCAAGACCATAAATATTTATAATGCGAGAATTTCCTTCAGCTGCTAAGTGAACATGAAAAGATTTGCTTTCATAGCTGTTTTACCATAATTTTCCCTTTTGAGGAAAATTAACGATCGGTTGTTTGTTTTATAGCCTTTGTTCCACTGGGTCAAAACTTGGAGCTGAGCGAAAATGAAAAATAAAAAAAGAACGCTTTTCTTGCTGTTTTAGAAATGATAACAGCTCAAAGAGCGTGAAGCGGAAATCGAAAAAATTTCCATCCAATTAGACATTCAACTCGTACGAAGCACAAGGTCAATTCGCATCCCAATGAAACGACAAGGGAATTTTTTATCTGCACGTAGCACAGCGTGGCCTAGACGGAACATGACAAATTGATAAGCATCAACAATAGTAGCAGAACGAGACGAGTCAGTACAACTTGTATAATTGAAAAGTTCCTTTTTCGAATCATCGTTGTTAATGCGCATGTTGGATGAGATGGAACGAAAGAAGGAAAAATTTCCGAGAAAACATCTTTTTCATATTTTTTCTTTCTTTTTTGGGCATTCGGAATGAGAAAAACTGTTGCACGTAATATTGATTATGGAAAAATTCATTTTTATTTCATAAATGTTCTTAAGGCTTCGTGATTTGGTTTCGGAGATGATGGCAAAGATGAGAACAAAAGATAACAGAGAAAGAAAAACGAAGGAAAGTCCACCCACAACAGATCATGTTTATTAATAATCTTTTTGTGCATTTATCGCTGGTATATCTACCGTCACGCGGAGAAAAGAAATACCAAAAAAATCCATAAATTTTCTACTTGAAACGCTGTCAATGATGCTACACATAAATGAGACATGAAATATTGCGTGTATGTTGGAACATGACAAGCAACTGGTTCTTGAGATATCGAAGACTTATCAGAGTTATGCAATAAAATAACAAAGTTTTATGGTCTGCCTTGAGAGAATTCTGCAGTTCTCGTGAAAGTATCCAAATGGAAGCGTCGTAAAAATAACTTGAAAGTGTCAGGTAATTCGACGATGCGGTGAAAAAGTTTGAAGAATTTAATGAATGACGTAAAACAAAGTTTCTTTACAATTTTAAACACGTAAAATCCCAAGTGTAGTGTAAGCTGAGAAGGGAGAAAAAGTGTGTAGTATATTGAAACAAGCTGGAAGATTTTAAGCTTTGTTGCTTTAATTTTTAATGGAAAAACTTTTCTTTTGCTTTTATCATATGCTTTCGCAGTGATTTACATATAATCGCCAACGCTCCTATTTCTGTGATATTCCACAACTGTAGTCAGCACCAAAGTTGACTTCAAGATAAACCTTTATTTTTTGTGACCTTTTGAAAGCTGAAAGCCGAAGACGTTCGTCATCAAAGGCTTCAAAACATTCACAACAATGAGAAACCTCTAAGGTAACATAAGAATAACTGATGAACACGACTGGTATTCATCTTTCAATAATGACATCGTGATAGACGACACTAAAGAATGAAAGCAGTTTTCACCTTCTTTGTTATTCAATTTACCAAAGCATCGCCCATGGAGACAAGTTAAAAGAAAAACAAAAAAAACTTGAGTTTTGCTTCAAGCACCCAATTACTAACGACAGAAAATCTTAAATTGTTGAGAATCAAAAAGAATGGAGAAATTTGAGCGAGCCCTAACAAGAGTCAAGATGAGATTATAGCAGCACGTTTAAGTGGAAATAGAAATAATTTTCCTCATACCATCAACATTTTCACTCTTTTGTGAAAATCTCTTTAAAATTGAAAATTCTCCGAGAAAAATTCTACCTCGAATCACCTGCTTACTGACACATGTGTAAGAGAAGAAAAAAGCATCAGAATGAACGTGTAGCAAACAGGGTTTTTGAGCATCTCACAACACCGAAAATTCTGTTTTTGCTACGAGCGACAGGCTGACTGTGAGCTTAGCTAAAGTTTATGAATATTTCTTCCATTCATGATCCTGGACACGCACACAACTTCAAAACACTAACATTATTACAAGCTCAATGAGAGAGAATCATGAGAGAAAAGAGAGAAAATTAGGAAACTTGTAGGAAAATCATCAAAGCTTTTCAGTTCCCGTCTTCCGTTCCGTGAAGTGAGAATAGTGCTATGTTCGCTTAAGATCCGCACACACTGGGACTGGAAAAAGGAAAAATTTTGTGAAAGAGAAATAAAAAACCAAAAAATATATAAAAGAAATATTGAGGTTTTCTTTCATTCAAAATCAGTGATAAAATAGAAAATAAATTAGAAGTGTGACGAGGTCTAAAAATATAGTAGCGGATCCAAAACAAAATAAAATCCATTTTCTTGTTGTTTTTATCGCAACGTAATCGGAAATAGACTTTAATTTACATCACATCGATAGCATTAATTAAACCATTAATTGTGAAATGTTTTTGTCGTGAGAAAAACAAGTGCAGCAGGAAGTGATAAGAAAATTCGTCGAATAAAGAAAATGGTTAGCATTCTAATTGTTTATATTTAGAGTAGATAAGTATTTTGTATCGGACAAGGGGGAGAATTTTCGTAATAAACAATAGGAAACAAAAAGAGAACTTCGACCATGTCGCACATAAGCTCATGTAGGAAGCTTTCATTTATAATGAAATAAAAAATAAAGTAATGTGATGTGAAGGGCCACAACGAAAGAGAAAACAAGAAATTATACGAAATATACAAGCGAGGGTTTTTTTTTGATATATATATGGAGAAAATCGTGCACACACAGGACTAAGAGAAGAGAAACGTAAAGGAAAGGAAAGATAGAAAAAAGTGTAAATTAATGGGAAGAAATGAGAGCCAGAAGAAACATAAAAGATGAAATGTGTAGCTGTATTTGAGACGCAGGAAAACTGTAATAAAACTGATGGGAAGATTTAAAGTAATGACGAAAATCTACGGTGAATATTTAGATGGGAATTAAAGTAACCGATGTGTAGGAAAAAAAGCACGAAGCATCTGCGAATTAAGCTTCATGCTTAAAAAGAAATTTTGTTCCTACAAAATGAATGATAACGAGATCAAAGAAGAAACGAATGATGAAGATTCTTTTTTTTTTTTTCAAGAGCTTCACTAGATACATTGAGTTCATGAGGTTGATTCGTTTTTTGACTTCATCGCTTCTCTTTTTTCTCAAATTCTTCTTCATAGAGTTTCGCATCAACTTAAATACATACTTATGAAGTAGAAAAGATCTTTTTGAAATATTTACGAAAAAGATTCAAGAAGAACCAGACCAGGATTTAATTTTATTGTTGTAAGATAGGATTCGTTAAGTATGGAAATGATCTATAGAATTAATGGTAATCTTCTTTTCAATCTCATTCTTCTTGTTCATGATAAGTGAAAGGAATGGCTTGTGTACCGAGCATGGTATGACTACAAAGAAAGATTTATTCGAAAGCATAAATAGATGAGATGTGATATTTATGATAAAATGAAAATCGCGTATTCCAAAGACTGGCCATTTTATTGTCTCTTTTTTTATTACGGAATGTCTGATTATAAATCTGATGCGGAATCCATAAAGCTTGCATAATGATGATGGTAACTTTGCCACATAGTGCTACACAGTAGTTTAACAGCTTTCAGATGTGATTCGGAAGTCATCGTACTTGTTTATCGGTAGAATGACGTAAATAAATTTACAGAAGGAAGTAACAACACTGGAGACATGCTGAGTTCTCCATCGCTGTCATGATTTTTAATTGAAACGGAAATCCGACCACCACTCGATAAAGAAGAAAATTACAAACTTTTGTCAAGCACAATCAGCTCTGATTTTTAATCAAGCAAATAATAAAATTTCTTAAGCTTCACAGATAAAGAAAATGAAAAAAGAAAATTGTTAATTATTGCATTCAAGATTGTTTTTACAAGATTTCCTGCTGACAAAAGGCGTGTACATAATAAATATTAAATAAAAAGATGCAACATTAACAAAGACTTTCCTTCTGAAATGGAAAGATTGATAAAAACTTCTTTGTTGAAGAAAGCAGAAAAACCAAAATTTATGCGGAATTTCCTTCAAAGCTTTATTCGAACATTTCTTTTTCTTACCTTCTTCGAGATACTTAAGACAAACGTTCGAGAGAAAAATAAGAGATAAATGTGACAGAAGACTAATGAATATTCCAAGTCAAATTAAAGGATAATTAAATACAAGGTTTGTTTAGAATGCTGAATACGCTTTTATCTTAAGATTCGAGGAAAATCAGGAGAAGAAAGAAGAAGAAAGATTAGAAAAGCTTCGACTTCAAATTGATAGGAAATCTATCAATGCACGATTGAGTAAGAAATTTATCGATGAAAAAGCATTGAAAGCAACGAAAAAAAGGGCCGAGCACTTCAGAAGAAAGTCTAATTATTCATTCTTTTCTCGCTTTCTCTCTGACTTCCGTTTCTTGCTTTTTCATCCTCTCACAACAAATCATTTTTACCGCACCATAATCACTTCATTTTCGTTTTCATTCGTTTAAAAGAAACTTAATTGGATTTCACCCCCTGAATAATAACAAATCTCATCTGAAGAAACTCAATTAGATTTTTTTTGTTGTATTTCTTCAGCGGCTTGAATAGATGAAAGTGATAGTAGTAGCAAAATCTGAAAGCTTCAGTAGATACAATTAATGAAATATGCTTAGAATTCTAAAATACAATTTTCATGTGTAACTTTTTTCGTTCTCTTCCATTAGAAACGAAGAAACGTGTGAAAATCATCAGAAAATTTCTTTCTTATTTTACTTGTTAACGATTTAGACGCGATAATTAGATTTCCTACCATAATTACATTAACGTGCTGTCCATTTTCCATGGAAGTAAGTAGTAGAAAAGAACTTTGTACAAACAGCGGAATAAGCATAGAAAGTTACTTAGTAATAAACTTGAACATCGACCTTCGCTTTGAATGAACATGAAATCCTTAAAACCCTCTTGACCGTGACATTATCGCTAAGATTGAAACTAACAGCAATTAGAAAGTCTCTTAAAATGTCTTTAATCTTTATTACTCCATTCCAGCGTCTCGATTTAGAACTTTTATGTAAAAAGAAAATTCGTCAAGTTCCGTTGCCTTTTCTCTTACTGCTCTGTTCATTGAAACTTCCAATAATGAACCTTTTTTTTCACGTTGCTAAGCATATTTTCTTAGTGAATGTTTTGCTGTTTTTTCAAGCTGTTTCCCTTCTTTCATCTACCTTCTTCGAAAAGTCCACCACCCCTACCAACGAGAATGAAAAGAAAGAAGAAAGTTACAAAAAGATTTCCAAGAAAATCTTATCGCTAATAGATTTCTCTAACTTTTATTTTTGCTTTTCTTTCGTTTGTCGATGAAACGAATTGAAATCAAACTGCTTTATTTGCTTATTATTTTCATTCACATGGGCGTGATGTTCTTTGAAAAGGAAATTCTGAAAGAGGTCGGAAAGAAGAGGGAAAATGTGTGCGTAGATATATATAGAACTAAATAATGAATAAAAATATGTCGTGAGTATGTGCTTCGAATGGCGAGAAAAAAAGTTGAGGAAGGGTGAACTTTTCCCTTCCGGTGTTAACAGCCAGAGTGTGATAAAGTGGTTGGTGCTCTCCAACCACTGAACAACATTTCCCTTTCTCGTTCTGCTTCTTTTCTCCATCATTCGCCTCAACTTTCAAGCATGTCGAAGGGTGAAATTGATATTTTACTAAACCCTCATAACCTATTAATTAAAATTATAATCTCGTGTCGGAATGGGCTTGGAGGATGATCTAGTGGAGGCTGAAAACTCCTGACCTAAACTGACCTGAGGGAAGGAAATTTTTGAATGTTATGTTGCCAACATAGTGGCCTCGTTTCACTCTCATATTTACACGCATCAAACAGCTCTTAAAATGAAATGAAAATTGAAATCTTTATCGACACCGTCAATTTCACTTAAATGTTTATTGAAATATTCTTCAGATCTTTTGAGTTTTCCTGAATTTTCTTCCATCATAACTAAGAAATGTTGCTATAAATTAAATTTTTCAAATCTTTTTTGTCATTGTTTGATGAAAGCCATTCGTTTTTCACTTTCCTTTCAAAAATGAAGATTAATTTTAAAAATAACTGAGCTAAGAAATGAAATTCATTACCAGAAGTTTTCTTAAAATCTTCTGTTAGAACATCCTCTTAGTCTCTTTTGGTTGTGGAAAATGTAACAAACGTTTCTTCTCATTCAAGCTTGTTGAAGTGAAAAAGCTTCAGAGAATGAAAAAAGAAAGATGCCTCGATCTGTTTTATTTTTATTTTTTTTTATTTCCTTTCAAAGAACGAATCGACTAACGAGAGAAGAGAAACGACTTTCGAAAACAAATTCGCTTTCTTTTACAGAGGCTTTTTTACATTCTTCTTTTTCATTGGAAAATAATGAGCTTTGATATATTTGCTTCAAGGCTGTGGTGGGATAAATATAAGTTTAGATAATTTTAAATATATCAAGCATGACAAACGTCGTGAGCAAAGACAGAAAAACGAAAACAGCGACGCATGTGTCAAAAAACTTTATCATTTATAAAGAAACTCAATTTGCTGGCAATAAAACAATATATTTTAAGCATTCTGGATGAGACGAGAATGCTAAAGGAAAAAGAAAGCTTCATGTGACATTTAAAAATATGATTATTCTGCTGGAATTTAAATGCAGAGGAAATAAAGTTTTTTTTTTCATTTACACTTCTACTTTGCTTTATGCTCTGATCATTTAAACGTCTTGAACAATTTCATTTAGTGAAAAAGTTTCAATTCTTTTCTCGCTCCAAATAAGAGGATTTTTGGCTACGGGGGTATTTTAGAAATGATTTCAATTTCCATCACATAGCAACTCATGTAAAAATCTGTCAATGTCAAAATGTTTAAATATTTCCCATTGCGTCACAAGCTAAACCCCCATCAGAATTTGCATAGAAAATCTCGAAGTTTTTATTCTCAACGCTTATGCTTAGCTTGTTATATTGGGAATGTTTTCACGTCTGTGTCTTCCTTTTCTTTTCTTTCTTATTTCTTTACTATCTCTGCCATGACTGTAAAAAAGAACTTTTTCAGGCACAGAGAAAAACCAATTTTGCATTTCGCTAGCTTTCAGTTTCCGGTCCCGGTTGTGATGAAATCCGGCGAGAAGAATTAAACTTTACTGAACGCGGTGTTTTTCGAACGCCTTGTGAACATTTGTAAATAATTGGACTCAAAAGTATGGAAACGTTAGGAACACACATGTGTGACAAAAACATTATGTTTTCCAAGCGTCAAGCGAGATAGAAATCGAAAGAAAGAGTGAAAACGTTTTGGAATGGAAATTGTGAAACATAAAAATAATGTGAGATGTACTCGCGGGGATTTTTTCTACACAATCCTAACATAAATCATTTCACTGCCATATATTTCAATTGAAACTGGTGAGAAAAGCTACTGACAGAACCGCGTTTAGGATTGTAGAAATGAAATAAATTTGCTGCTTTATTGCTTGATTGAATAAAATTCATCATCAGAGAAAAAAACATCGAAATTTAAGCTCCATGCTCTATTCGAGCCATAAATGCTTCCACTCAAACATAGAAATGGAAAATGGATTTGCATAAATTCTTTCCAAAATAAAAATCATCAGAAATTGAGCTTTCACCTTCACATCAACATCATTTGAATTTTTTTAAAACTCTTTCAGTTAATGTTCAAGATTTTTTATCGCGAAACATCCATCAAATTTATAACGTGAATACAAACAAGCAAAAGCGATTTTTTTTTATTTTCTTGAGATTGATGATTGGATTCTCTAATCAACTTGCTTGTCTTCAATATCACTTTCTTCATTATGTTAAATAAGAAAATGTTATGTGGAACATGAAACTGATACTGGTTGAAGAATCTCCTGAAATCTAAGCTTAACGAAGTTATAATAGGATAAACTATTTGAACTACAAATGGGCTCTAATCATATTTATTTGCTTATTTATCAAGGTTAAACCCATCGAATCAAAAGCGCATTAAATAAATGTGATACATAATATAACTATGTATGTACATATATCCAAATTCATGTAATCTAATGCTTATTAGAGCTTGCTATGCCTTTTCTTGGAATAAGTATGAGGTGTTTTTGAGCTTTTATCTGCCACATTCAAGCATTATGAACATTTGCTAATGAATCTTTCATAACTCATGACTTGTTATGCAAAGCGTTTATTTTTTCTTACAAGACGTTATGATTAATAAACACAGAATATTTTCCTTGTGTAATGCTTACAGTTAAAAGAAGAAATTTTCGTCACTCTGTCAGCCATTAAAAGCCTTACAAAGACGGAAATCACATAAATGTATCTGCTTTAACTTTTTACACTCAACTAGAAATTAAATTTATGTGACGTTTCCGTTAAAGAGCATGGAGAAATTGAGTTTGAATACGATATAAATATCCATAAAAATTTTGTATTCTGTTCGCGTTTCTTTCCTTTGGAACTCCTAAATATGTGACTTGAAACTTTTACACAAAATTCCTTATTTTTCATTCTACTCCCTTTGACTATTAATAATTTATGAAATGTCATAAAATTCTGTAAGGAAACATAATCTTATGATGTAATTTTTTAAAAAATAATTCGGTAATGACACAAAAGTGTTGAACATGTAAATATGCAAAACGTTTCAATTCCTAATATCTAAATACATTTTTTTAAATTGTTAACGATGGAATTCATTTAATACGTGATTACTGAATCCGACAGGGAATAAAGCTGGGATATGGAAATATTTCAATGTGTATGACAGACCGTTTTGACGCCAGAAATAAAATCATAACAACCGATAAAGCTCTTATAACGAATCTCTCTGAAAACAATAAAATTTTAATTTGGAAAATCGAATGGGGATGAAAAGCTTAACTGACAAAATGGATAGTCCAGTAAGGGATGATTGATAAATGTGAACAAGCAGTGAAGTATTAAAAACCCCCAGTACAAACTACAAGACTCTCATCAATAATGTTTTCATTTTCATGGCATGTTCTTATCCACAACACAATCCTAAATTTCTAGTTCTTGTCATTGCTTTCATGTTATTTCAGAGAGTGAAACAAAGGAAAGTTCATAACATTAAATTTTCTTCCTTCTATTCGTTTTCCTTTCGATGTTAGATATAAAACGTGGTAATGATAAGAAGGTTTGAATTTATCTAGACAAATAAAGTCAAAGAAAGTCATGAAACATAAATAAAATAAAGTTTCTGCTGCAGTATTCCTTCGATTCTTTATGACAGAAGCAAAAGACATTTAAATGGAATGTAATAAATAAAATGTCACACATACCTTGCCTCCTATGATCGTAGAAAAGCTTTTGTATTTTAAAACATTTGAAATGGAATGTTCCTACCTTGAATGAAATGTGCCCGTACATGATTTCTGACCTCGCTTCAATAACAACATAAATAATCTACGACAACTGAGAATTGACACATTTATTATGTGTGCACGCTAGGACGAAGTGCCATACCATATATCTTTCCATCTAAACAATCTTCCTTACGGTTTTTCAAATGCAATCCTTTTTAATTTATGGTGATGGAAAATTTCTTCTATTTCAGGAAAAAAATCAATTGTAGGCGGCATTGTTTAGAAGATAATTCGTATTGATGTTTTAATTCATGTAATTAGAACATTCAATCATGTTATTTCCAAAGAAAATATTATTTTGATTGGAATGGAATTTCCAAGGATTTAACGATACTTCAGTCATTTTAAAACGAGAATTTATTTTCCAGAAGATCAGGAAAAATTTTATTCCTACTTCAGGTCGATTAAATGAGCTCTGATATGATTAAATTGTCACTTTCAACCTACATTCCTCTACATTAAAAATACATAAAGATATCCTTGAGTCCCGACTTTTAATAAGTACTACTGGCAATCAAAATCGAATCAATAAATGTTGTCAGAAGTAAAGACATTACAAATTCCATTAATTTTATAATTGCACTTTCTAACAGTTTATTTCTGACATTAATTTTGGGTTCTGGTAACTTTGGCAATTTTCTATGTCGTTAAATTTCGAAGGGTCTTTTAAAGAATGTGAATATTGATGAGTGATTCAGTTGAAGTCAGCATTTCAATGTTTGTTTTCTGTAGGAATTTAGATGTCTTCGTTTGAAAACGATAGAGAAGAATTCCGAAGCAAAAGAATTTAAGAGAGAAATCAAGGTACTCAATGCTATTGTAAAATTTCATTTTCTTCTTTATCTACTTGTTTTCAAAGTTTTCATTACGTAAACACGTAATGTAGAAAATCAATCAGAAATAAATGTTAGGGAAGTAACGACTGACCTAAGACGTTAAGGGGATTTCGTGTCACATAATATAAAAACATGAAATGCAAAGAATTTCCTGAAAGAAACTTTGGATTTTCTTTTTGTTAAAAGCTTTGTGACTTGGAAACATTCAAAAGCTTTTTAATCATGACAAGAATCGATAGTTGACCTTCCATGGAAGTGATATTTTTATTTTATTTAACAGAATTTACCCTTTGTTGAACAACACCTTCATTTCATGACTTTGTTGGAGCGATTTTTCAAAAGAAACATTCGCCTTAGGGAAAGAAAGTCAGATACATAAACTCATTCAAATATTTGTCTAGCATTTGTTGAAGAACCATAAATCGTTCTCACTATTTTTGGGAGTGTTTCTGCTTTGTTTTAAATCTAGTTGAGAAGTTCTAATTTTAGACAACTGTTTAGATAGAAAGTTAATGATTATTTACTGTCAAAAAACAGATTTCCGCCTCTCTTTTCGAACCTTACATGGAACTTTCCTGTTCTATTTGTTCCTTCGCCTAACCCTTAATGGGAGTTTTTAGAGAATCGGTCATTTATTGTTTATTTCTGATAAAACAATGTGGGAAGGTTTATTGTGCTCATGATAAATCTGACACTAAATTATAGCGTCGCAAACGCTAATTAATATACCTTGTGGGCGATAATCTAAACAATATGTTTTCAGTTTGACATACGACAACAAAACGAAAGACAATCTGACAAAAACTTTTCTGATCATAAATCACAGTCTAACTTTCAAACTGTTAAGATGAAGTTTACTTTTAGCTTTCTTAAATATCGAACACTGTCGTCTGTGAGAAAACTCCAAAAGTCAAAGCTTTAAAAAAGATCCAAAGAGTTTCATTTTATATTATTTGATTCAAGGAAAATATTTTATGACAGTAAATTAAGTTCTCCAGAATATCAGAACATTGAAAAATTGAAAACTTCTAGAAGCTTATCCAGCCAAATCAAATGAGATCATAAATTAAAAGTTTTATTATCATTAAAGTTTTGACCACATTCCCATGTGCATTGAAATCAAGGCTTGAAAAGCTGAGTTGCAAGCATAAATTTCACGAATATGAGAAAAGACAGAAAATATGAAAAATATTCTGGAAAAAGTTGGTGAAAAATTGTTATGAGAAACGAAAAACTTACACGCTATTGGCTGCAACGATTTTAATAAAAGCGTTAAGAATTTAATAGTCTTTTAACATGAAAGTAATCAGAATGTTTATTTTTTATGAGAAATTCTTAGCTTACTCAAGACCATGAAATGGCATGAAAGCGGAATCGATTATGCTAATTAAATTATTGGAAAACATTGAAACTTTTGCTGGATGAAGACTCCGGAATTTTTGTCAGACAATATTTTCTTGAAATGTTGTCCTTGAATGGCTTCCAAATTGACTTTACTCAAATTAAACGTTCTCACAATACTAATTTTTTAATTAGATTAAATTAAATTGATATGACCTTTCATTAAAGAATGTTTTAATTTAACAAACATCATTTAATTAATTTTTTATTTTGCTTATTATGCAAAACAACAAACAAGGAAAATTACAATTCTGTTGGGAAATGCACACTGAATAAATATGTGGATGTTTACGAATCAGGAAAAAGTATTAAAATTCAGCAATGAAATGCTTTTATTCAACTTACTTACCAAAGAAGCTTCACAGCTGTTGGTTGCATAGTTCAGATAAGATTTAATCGAGTCTCTTGTAAGGTTTCTGACATTGGCAAAGTTGGCTTCGTGGTTAAATATCCGATTTGAAATTCGTTTTATGGTAATTTTTACTGATTCTCTTTTATGAGATGAATTCAATGTTTATTTTCATTTCGTTTAAATGAAAAAAGATAAAGAAAGAAAATATCAGCTTTATTGTTAATGGAATTTCATCAACATTCTTATATGAAAAGCTTCTTATTTATTTTTAAAATTGCTGAAAAGAATTATTTTATTTCATGTTTAACTTTGTCTGTTCAATTCTTCTTATCGGTCCTGTGTGACGTCATTGCATATAAATGTGGATAAAATAAGTATAAGAAATTTAAAAAAGTAACAACGTTAAGTATAAATTAAGCCTTTTCTCAATGAACTTGAAAGAAAAACAATAAATTGAATCGTGTTATGCTTCAAAGAACCAAACAAATAGGAATAAAAATTCTCATATAATCGAATTTATGGAATGTAAAAATGCTTGCGATTCAAATTGTGAATTAATTTAATGTTTGGGCTCAGTGATACAGCAGCTGTTCGTAAAATTATGCTAATGTGGAAACAAGAATCATTCTTACCCTCAAATCGTTTGCAAATCCAAGTTTTTCGTGAAGATTTAATTTAAGACAAGCGTAAAAAAAATATTGTTATCAGAATCAATAAATTTCCATCTGGGTTTCCATTCGACAACAGATTTCTCAGCCTCAAAAAAAAAAAGAATCAAACGTTAACAAAAGGCAAACACAAATGGATTTTCTCCTTTTATCCGACAGCACGACCAAAAAGAACCATAAAATTTAATTAATGAAGCACTATTTTTAGAATTTTCTGAATACCGCATTCTGATGAACACTAAATAAATGTTTGAAGTGAAAAATTATACCATTAGGTAGAGAGAGAGAGCAAACATGAAAGTTCAAGTTCCACATTGAAATAATATTTTTTAATTTGGTGAAAAATAAACCGCCGCACTGTATGAGGAAAGCAACATTATTGATAACTAAAAATTTCAGACAAACAAATGTTCATAAATCAAGGAAAAGCGCGTACCGTGATGGAATAAAACAAACTTCGGGATTATTAATGACAAGCAGCCTTGCATGGCGACAACATAATATTGTAACCTGGCGAGATAACGACATTAAGTGAACCAAATTTACCACATTTAGAGCTGTGACTTGTAAGCTTGTAACAATCCTACGATACATAAAAATGGCGACAACATATGGTCGACAGGTAACAACAAAATATTCTTTTTCATATGATGGTTTTACATAAATTTCAGTCATCTTGATTGACGGAGATTATTTTTCAAAATTAATTTCGTGTCACTGTTTTGTTTCGATTTGAAGAAATTTGAATAAAAAGCGCTGAATATTCCTTCATAATGATAATAGGAAGTTATCATTGTCATAAAATGAGTTGAAATGATAGTACAACATTCAGTGAAAGCTTTTAGAACATTATTCATGAACTAAGCCCATTATGGAAATTGCTTCCTGAAAATATATAATTTATATTTCATTTAATAAAATATCTTTGAAGCTTCTCTCTCATCATTGCATGCTGTTATATATACGATGATAACCGTTATCAATAATAATAACTTTACATCACCCAAAAGAATGAATGAGAGAAAGCACAGAAAAGTCTTTTCCTATGTAAATGAAAGCGTGCTTTCGAGTTGATTTTAATGCGATTTTTTTCACGAGAAAAGACCATTAAACATTCCATTATTATTGAAGCTCTTATCTTATAATTCATCGTAGTGAGCTTGCCGAGTTATCGCATTGTTTTCACAAGTTGAGTTCAATGAATTATCAACGTTGCGCTCATTTTCATCATCAGAAAAGTATTTTAACTTATCTAAAGGCACGTGAATAATATTTATTATGCATTAAATCTTTTCTGCATAATGAGTTAGTTTAAGGCTCAGAAGAATAGAAAACGATAAGAACAAAAATCATTTTATATTCATAAAATTTAAGCTAAAAGTATATTGAAGGATAATATCGTGTGATTATCGTAATGGAATGGAATTATCTTCAACTTCGAATAAATTATGAAAATTTTATTCATTGTTGTTATGTTTAATACATTTTATTTATTATTAATTCGTTGTCTTCATAACAGAAACTTTTAAAGCGATGAAAAGAGAATTATTGGGTATCTAGTAGATAACAATGAAAAGAAATTGATGTTTATGAACAAATTATACTCGTAGTTAGCTATTTGTGTGAAAACATGCAAGAAATAATTTTTTTGTTGATTTTCTTCTGTAAGACAAAAGGATTAACTTCAACTTCGATAAGCTTTGTTAATTTCTGTTAGTATCGAAATCTCAAAATAAACCAATAATTGAGAGATAAAATTGCTAAACAGAGAATGAAATTTTCAATAAATGGCAACAGAAAATGTTTCAAGTGCACTCGTGTACAAATTTGTGTCGTCTGAAGTGGAAGTCTTGGTATTTTTCAGAAATTCCTTTTTATATATTTATTCGATGTAAGAGCCAGATGTTTCTATGTGAACACTAATTCATGTCTCTGTTCTCCTTTGTGCCTCTGCTTTAATCTTTTTATACTCAAAAAAAATTACTTTGAAGTTTCTAAAATTTAAATAAGTTGTACAAAACCTTTATTTTTAAAAGGGGATATAAAATGGCATTTACAAACTTTTTTCATTAAATAACTCACTTAAATAAATGAGAATCACGACATAAACTTTTAAAGTTCTTATTTAGCATAAATAGAAATTCAACCCTTCATCAAAATGAAGCAGTCTTTATGTATGAAAACTAAGTTTAATATTTATCAAACTTGAACCGAGTACATCAAAGCTTTCGACTTTAATTCACTCATTTCGTCATAATGTGATGAAGCATCCATTCGTTTACAGAAGCGGTAAAATACAGACAATTTGAGTCACTGTCAGAAGCAATAAAGTGCAGAATCGATTTTACACGTTGACTTTTCACAGAATGCCATTATTTTCTGTTTATTCAATAGCATGAAATAAGAATCCCAAAAGTCGTTATACTTAATACTTCTCATGCTTCTTCTTTCCTCCAGTTAACATGACTTTCGATCTACATTGTATGATGACAGCATGAATCTGTGATTTTTTACGCTTCATTCATTTATATGTTTTCGAGATCATTACACGATAATTTTCACTCTCACAAGAGTCAATACACTTGATTGTTCATAAGTTTATTTTATGAAGATAATTGCATACGTATTAGAGGTAAAAATCGGATAACAATGACTCCTAACGTTCAATTATGTATGTAAAAATACTTCCACGAATAACCTTTAATAATAGATGAAGTAAACATGTATTTAAGATCTTTTCCTTCTTGTTACACATCCAACTCTTTATCAAAGCCAAGTGCCAATTTCCTTCCATGGTTTGTCACTGAATTCATAAGATTCTCGAAAGGAAATTGACTTTTCTCTTCACTATTCCAAACTTTAAACATTCTTAAAATAACAAAAACTAAAACGAATAAATAGAAACGAGTTAAAGATTTTCAGGATTATATTCGAATTATAATAATTTTAACATATTTCTCCACATGTGTTTATTTTATGATGTTAACAGAACATTTGAAATGAGCTTAACATTAAACGTTCTGTCGTTTCCATAACAACTTCAGAGCTTTAAAATTTTCTGTGACGAAGATAATTTCCTGAAAATGATGTTGTCAACTTCCGAGCAATCAACTTATTTATTTCTCTTCAATATCATCAGAGAATACTGAAACTTTTCAATCACAAACAAATATTGTCGTATCTAACTTTTTTAATTCAGCTTTGACCTAAATTCCCAGAAACTTTTTTGGAGCTCTTCCCGGAAGCATCAATTGATGAAATCTTTTTCTTCTCATTGGAATGATCTCGAAAAGCATACAAACATAATAATAAAACTAAGAGTAAATATTGAGAGTTGACAGTGTCAAAATATATCCAACATTTATTCCATGATGCATCTATACATTGTCGAAAGCTTTTCGTGTAGAAAAAATATCGAACAGAGAAATTAAATTTTGTTTCTAACATGTCAGAAAATTGATGTAAAATTTTATTTACAATGTTCTGTTTTTTATGTGCTTGTACATCTGACAACTAAAGAAGATTTAACAATTTTGATGACATAATCTCGATTTCCAATTCAACATCTATTCAATAACAGTATCGATTTTGTTTATTTATTATTTATATCAGTTTATTCGCTTACTCACTTCCCACTTTGAACTTTTTGAAGATGGAAAAAGAAAGGAAGTAAAATGAAATTATTTAGCAACACCATTTCACACATAAATTTATGTACATTTTGATATAGACAACTCAATTTCTCTGATTTCTTCTTTATCATGAGAGAAATATTGAAAGTCTAAAAAATAGATACATCATGCTGACGATTCAGAGGATTTGTTGTATTTCTTTGTTGTAAGTGCGAGAAAACAAGATGATAAAAAGTTGGCAACTAATTTTCCTAATTTCTCACGCTGACAAAATATTTCAATGAAGCAAATTACTGCGAAAGATTAACCGAAAAAAAAAACAATTTATTGGCTATTTACAGATATCAACACTCATTCAGCATCGCTCTGAACGACCACACACTACTTCTGCTACTTCAGAGCGAACGCTTCGCGCTATTGGAAGAGTTGGACAAGCTGTTAATTTAGCTGTCGAACGATTTGTTACTGTTGGCGAAACGATAGCTGATGACAATCCGGATATTAAGCAAGACATGTATGAAGCTTGTAAAGAAGCGAGAGCAGCAGGTGAGAATGAAATTACGTTTATTTATTTATCGAACGGCACTCTTGACTGCAAAATATTAATTTGATAATAACTACCTGCAATATGATGCGACAATAATTAATTAAAGTCCCAGAGACCGTGTTGTTTTTTGAACAGAACAAAAGCACAAAAGCTGTTGTAATTGCAGGTCAGGGAGATATCTCTGCCTTAGTTAAATAATCGCTAGAAGAAGCTTAAGCAATTAATTTTCATCTATCGACAATTAAGTCATTTACAATTCGAAACCATTTATTATTTATCATAAAATAATTCTCTCCATTGTTCATAATTTAATATTTTGTCATGGCTCATGATTTAATAGAGAAATGATAGCGATTTTACGAAAGCTGCGATTAATTCCAACAGCCATGAGGCTATTAAGTCTTCCTTTGCAGTAAAAGAGAAAAAAGAGAAAAATCTTTTTCATTTTATGACACGGAAATGTGATACATATGAATGGAAGTTTGAATTCCACCCGCCAGCATCAGATTGCAACATTATAGCCATGAAAAGGAAATTCAAGGGTTGGGGAATTCAAAAGCAAGGGACAGTCTAGGAGTGTCTCTATAATGATTTCTTTTTACAGAAGTCTTTGAGATACAAACGACTGTGATGGTAACGACGGCAGTTGTAGCAATAAAAGGAAACCATCAAAAAGAAAGATTTCAAGGTCATAAAATAAATGAGTTTTCGACGGCAAAAAAGTATCTCATCCACTTGTTTACATCAAGATGAAAACGGAAAGAAAAAGAGACGTAAAGATAAGCAGTCTCTAGGGTTATCTTATGTATCTTTCCATAATAGCTTTGAAAGTTATTTTTAGAAGTTCTCTGGATTTATTTGAAATCCGTTTTTGATGTCGTCATTAATAATATGTATGGATGAACGTATGTACGACATAAAGAAAAGGATCATTCTTCCCTTTTCCCATTCTATTTATAAAGTTTCATAACTTGCTTCACTTGACTTGCTGAAATGACGAACAAAACGAACAGAGTAATGTTTGTTGAATACTTCAAATTTTCAAATATTTATGCTTCTGAAACTCTTGTCCTTCATTTGATAAAACATAAAACATTCTCAGCAACGCTATTTCTTGAATGACTAAACAATGAGTTGACAAATTGGTTGGCAAACATTCAATGTCGTAATTAAGAAATTTAGGCGTAAAAGAATAATTGAAAGGAATTATCAGAAATTCTATCCGATAAGGAACGCGAAAATAAATGTAATTTTTGTAATCAAAAACTTTTATGATTTCATTAGAGAAGGAAATTTATGTTGCCTTGAGCTCAATATCATTACACTCAAGTATTCCAAATTAAGTGGAAAAAGATGAAAAATTTGTTTTTCTGAGATCGAATGTTGTCAATTTACAGCAATCAATAATTGAAATAAATAAGTAGTTTGTAATGTTTGATCGATTATTCCTTCAATTTAAAAAAAATACAATTTTGAAAGCTCATAGTCACAGTATCATGTGTATTGAACATTAATTAACGTCTTTCAAATGTGTTGAATGATTCAAAAGCTTAGCTCACCCTTCCCGACATATTTTCTTCTATCTGTGAAGAACTCCATTCTGAGTTTAGAAAGCCGCAAGAAAAAAGTTTGAATTTAATAATGGAAAACACCGATGGGGCTGTTGATATAGCGGCAGTAATTAAACTTGTGAAAAAAATTTATTAATTAAAAAGGCTTCGCGAGACGAAAGGATTGAAAAATTGATTGATGACGAATATTTTTTCATAAGAAGTTTCTAGACTGTAGAAAAGTTTTTACAAACATTGTTTCACATTTTCAATTTCATAACGTAAAATAAATTTAATTAAATGTTTTTTTATGGATTTCTCCAGGAAGTGATAACTTTTTCATGCTTCCTTCCTTCTTTTTCATAGTGAAGTCACGAAAGAAGAATTAAAATAAAAACTCATAGCAATTTTCTACAGCAATGCAAAGGCAATAAAAATTCTAGTTTTTCTCCCCCAATTTAAATTTGAGATATGCAAAAAAAAAGCAAATTGGAAATTGCAAACTCTTCGTTTCAGTTATTTAATTAAATATTTGGCAATATTTAATTATGTTTAGCTTTAGAATGTGTACGACTATTTTAACAAGATTTCTTCAAAATGAATATTTGAGAATTTTCTATAAAATTGCTGTTGGGTCAACTAAAAACCTGAAAACATTAAATGCAAAGCTTGTTATGTTTACTTTATGTGTCTGAATTGTCAGCATTGCACTCTAGCTTCGTGAAATATTGCGTTAGGCATCGGTCGAATAATCAAATTTGCATTTTCATGTTTTATCTTTTCATGATGAAAATCAGCAACAAAAGCATAAAAAAATATTTCGCTGCAGTTTGCTTCTCTATAATAATAGAATAAAATGTAAAACTTGTTGAAAGTGACTGCGGTTAATTCAATCAATGACGGAATTTAGTTTATGAATGAATAACGCAATTTCAAATTATAATTTATTTACCCACAGGATCTTCAATTGAACGTTTATGTGATGTTGCAGCAAGTGATCCGACTGGCTATGCTCAACTTGACGACCGGGGGCCGATGGTGAGAGCAGCAAGAGCTCTGCTAGGCTCTGTCACTCGTGTATTATTATTGGCAGATATTGTTGTAGTTAAGCAGTTACTATTAGCCAAAGATAGAGTGAGTCAAACCTTTTCAATTAGTATAAATCGATTGATTAGTAACAAATTGAAATTCTCTCAAACAGATAACAAGAACTTTAGGTAGACTAGAATCGGTAGCAACCTTTACAGAATTCGTTAAGGCATTCTCCGTTTTTGGTGCAGAAATGGTTGAATTAGCTCATATAACAGGTAAAACATTGACCCAAGTTGTATATTACGTGTTTAACTTTTCAACATCACCTGAACTTACACAACTTAAAGTTAAAGGAAACCTTTTTTAAAAAAAAACTGCTTACTCTCGGATCGAAATAGGTTCTGGGAATAGTTCTTTTCAATTTCTTCTCAATTATGTTTCGTTCAGTCGAGTTCAATAAGAAACGTAATGGAAATTTTTAAATTAAATTAACAATATTAAATGGACGGGAAAAAATAAAATGTTTGATCGAAGATGAAAATATTTACGATTTTAAAAACTTTTTCTGCTTCAGAAATGTAAATGTTAATAACATTAACTTTATTTCCTAGATTATTTTCGTTTTTGCCCGTGATCTGGGACACTTTGGTCAAATCATAATTTCAACATCAAGAATTTCTTTAATAATTTAATGGAAAATATGAAAAGATTTTTTATGAGATGATTAAAGTCATTTAGCATAAAAATGTTTATTATTAAAGACGCAGATTCCCAACATAAGATATATAACATCTAAAATCTTTGAATTATTACTACCAAAAATACCTTAAATAATTATAGCGAAACATCCAAGTATAACAAATATAAATCATTGAAAATTATTTAATGTTCAAACTTGGTTTTAATGTGCCTTTGCCTGAGCTTTCACTCCGAAAAAAAGGAACAAGCAAGCTGAAGAAAAAATAAATTCTGTAATATCTCGGCCATCAATTTGTTTCATTACTTGCCCATCCGTTCAAATCTCGAATGCTTATGATGATGGAAAAAAATCATTATTTCATTTTAAATGTTCAGTTGTAATTTATTTACATGAAGAGATTGAGCTTGAAAATAAATTTGAGCATTAAACTTGACAAAGAAATTTCCCTAAGCGACTTTTCACCCGACAGCGAAACTAATACAAAAAATTCACAAAATAATTTTTGTAATTATTCATTTAACAAGAGACAAGAAAAATGTTTAGTTTGCATATCTAAAATAAAGTGACATGCTTTGAGTTTCTTCTAACAAAAATGTAACAACAGCCTAAAACACCAGAAATTTAATTAATATTCTCATTTTCGTTGTTAGAAAATATCGCATAGCTGAAATTTTTAAGATTTCTTCTTCCACCAACCCAACTTTCTTCCCACAATACGTATAATGGTTAGAAAAGTTTGAAAGCTCTTAAATACTTTTGTACAAGAGCTATAAATATTTCTCCTGAACTCACATGAGGGACAATAAACAAAAGACGCAAATATGAATAATGCTCGGAATAACGAAAGTCTGAAAATGTAATGAAAGAGCTTTTGTTGTACCTGATGATTGTATTCAAAGGGAGCACTGTTCACGCAATCTCGACAGAACAATAAGCTGAAACTTTCCGAATATTTTTAGTGATGTGCAGCAGTTAAGTCTATCGAGGAACTCTTATGGTGTCGATGCAAAACACCTTTCGCATCAGATTTCGCACTAATAAACACAACTCATTTAATCAGCTTTAGAACTACGACCGCCATTTATTATTCTCCATTAAAAGAAATAAGCACGAAATCCATTTTCATTTCGCCACATATACAAGTTATGATAGTACTTAAATTTTATGCGAAAACTAATAATCTCGTATCAAGAAAATTAGTGTTTTTCATCTCGTCTTGCAATTTTCCGAATGAAGATAAAAAGAATGTTACGAGCTTTCACAAGTATGAAAGTCAGCGATGAAAAAGAGAAGAAAAATTCTCATAACATTAAGTTGTGTTATTCATTCGTTTTTAAATGATGGAGTGATGAAAAAAATAAGTTATTACATTTATTCAATATTTTGTACGCATTGTCTTCTTTTTCTTTACTTTGACTGATGATAACTAATTACAGGGGACAGACAGAACGATTTGAAGGATGAACGAAGGCGAGCACAAATGACAGCTGCCAGATTAGTATTAGAGAGATCTACTATGATGTTGCTTACATCTTCAAAAGTAACTTCTCAAGAAACTTTAACTTTTATTTATTTTATCTATTTATTTAATTGTTTGAATGTTGTTCTTTTCTTGTTTTTCTTTTCTAGACAAGTCTGAGACATCCTGAATGTACATATTCCAAAGAAAACCGTGATACGGTATTTTGCCAAATGAGAAGGGCTATGGACTTAATTCATTACGTTGTGAAAGACGGCGTATTAGAAACTTCAAATGAAAGAAACGTATCGAGACAAGTAAGTTTACTCTACTATATAAGTTAAAAGCTTCATCAAGTGTTTGCTGAAGACGTTTCATCATCTCAACCTTGAACGTACACAGAAACTTTGATTTCTCTTCTCTGATAAATAAAAAAATAACATGAAGATTATTTTTCTTCTCTTTCCTCGACATAACGACACAAAAAGAAACAATAATAAATTTTTCTTCGTTTGTTTTATAAACAGCAGACTATTGAATGGGACTCAGAGCGAGCTACAGCGTTTACATGCTTAAAACATTTTTCAAGACTTGTTGAAATGGCTCCACCTCGTTTTGATCGAGCACCAAATCAAGCAGCATCTTCCTTGCCATCATCTTCATCATCGACAGCTCAAGGAACTGGTAAATAGTTGCAAAATATATCTCGTCCTCTCTCTCTCTCTCTCTTTTATCTTTCTTGATGCAGTCAAAGTAACGAACGATGAGAGACTTACATTATGTATTATGTTTTTTCTTTTCTTTTCTTTTATAAATAAATAGTAAATGTCAATGCCACCAATATTGATAAGGACGCAAACATAGAGCGAAGAGAACGTGAACGAGAGCTCATGCGCAGTAATAGCGAGAGAGATCGTAGTACAAATAGTCATCCCAGAGAAGTGCCAAGAGAAGCGAATGATCTGCATCGTGATGTGAGTTTGGCAAAGTTTAGTTGTCGTGGAGAGGTAAATAAGACCATCAATGTAGTGATGGTTCAGACATATATGTCATTTCATGATGATTTTAATTATTTCATTCTTTCTTTCTTCCTTTATTTCTATCACAGGCTGCAATCTCAATATTTCTTGTGGATACACGAGAGAAATTAATTTCAGCTTTAGATAAAGTCTGTGAACGAATTCAAGATTTTACTGATTCCGCTTATACAACGCATGAACATCGTGAAAATATTCTTTTATTATGCGATCGCGCTAAGTTAGAACTAAATCAATTACTTCGAATTGCTGTAAACATGGAGCAGCATCCCAACTCGTCATTTGACATTGATTCATGTGTGGATAGTGTGCTTAATGCAGCACAAGATTTAATTAATCAATTGATCTTAACAGCACAAGATCAAGCATCTGATTTGCCTCATATGACAAAGTCAGGTATCGAATTGGTTAATTTGCTCAGGAACATTGCCTTAAATCATGAAATCGATAGGCTACAGAATAGTGCGGATCGTTTTCATGAACATATCGATCACATGTTGGAAATTTGTAAACTTTTGAGACACATCGCAATGACTGAGACGTTGCAAGTGCAAGCAAAATTTTCCGAAATTAATGTGAGAATTTATGGACCGCAAGTGATAACAGCATCGAAAGCTTTATGTTCTTATCCGAGTAGTAAAGCGATGAAAGAAAATTTAGAAGTATTCATGGATATGTGGCAGTGGCTGATAACCGACATTTCCGCAATATCTAAAGATATTTTAGATTTAGCACAAGCAGTTTTGAAGCCTGACAAGCAAGGTTATCTGAGTCTCCCTCGTCCCGGGGTAAGTTAAATTACGTTTAAGAACAAAAAGAAGAAATAAATTTATTTAACAAAACTTTACAACAGAAACATGGGACGACATCAAAGCCCCTAAAACCATCAAGACTAGACACGGAAGAGCAAGAAAAGATTGCAAAAAGTGGACTCGAAATGAAAATGGTAACCAATGAAATGGATGCCGAGACTGACAAATGGAATAGTACAATGAATGATGAAAATAATGATATTGTGAAAAGGGCAAAGAACATGTCAGCGATGGCTTTTTCAATGTATCAATTTACGAAAGGGGAGGGAAGTTTGAGAACGACTCAAGATTTGTTTACACAAGCCGAATACTTTGCTGAAGAAGCGAATCGACTTTATAAAGTTGTTCGACAATTTTCATATCAGGTAATTTCTTATGAGCATTAAAAGTTTGGCAACGGCATTAAATATTTATTTAATTATTTCAATAAACTGTCAACAGGTCCCTGCAGGTCCACCGAAAAAAGAGCTTCTAGATCAGCTTGATAAAGTTCCAACTTATGTGCAAACGCTTCAATTTACTGTCAAAGAACCGACAGTTGGGAAGTCAGCGACATTTGTGAAAGTCGACCATGTTATTCAAGAGACAAAGAATCTTATGAATATCATATCAAAAGTAGTTTCAACATGCTTTGATTGTGCGAATAAGGTGAGAAAGTTTCTTCATTAAATTCCCTTGTTTCCAATCGTCCCAAAAGTTATCAAAAATTTATTATTTTCTGTTCACATTACTGTCGGAAAATTTATTTCAATTATTTATTTGAAAGTTTAAATATTTTACAAATTGTTTTATGATTAAATTCTTGTTGTTTATTTTCAAACTTTATTTCTTCTCGCAGATTCAGAAAAAGAAAACCGTTGTTTTCACTCTAAGCGATGGTAGATGGAATCTCAAATCAATTAATGTTTAACCCTTGTTTATGAGTTTTCAATTTCATAAAATGACAGAGTTTTCCTTTTTTTGGTCTTTTTGGATTTTATTACATAATCCTGAAATGGCGAAAAACGATTAGTCTCGCGTGGGTGGTAAAATATTGTTTTGATTTCCGCCCTGAATGATTCTGTCTCTTTGAAATGTAAAGCAATGTATTATACCAACATAAATATGATGACTAATCTTTTTTTTGCTGATTTTGACAGCACACTTCCGTATATCCATTTCTTAATCCTGTGCAGACACAGAAGGTTAAATAAAATGATAAATGTAATTATCATCTGATACAAAGTAGCAAAACATAATAAACAAATGTCCACGCCACAAATTGACAGAGTTCATAAACACACAACATACATAAAGTAATTATCAATAAATCCTCATCATCAAATGTTCTTCAACCCGCCAAAACAAAACGATATTTATGATTTGATGCTTGACAATGACATTAATTTTTCCATCCCTTACGTACATAAATATATTTTATTATTAAAAAATCGCTGCTACTTAACATGGTTTCACGATACATACAAATTTGTTGCTTGTCGTAAATTTCTCATTCATTTTATTTGACATTCCTTTATTCTCCCATGAAGAAGCGATTCGTCAATTTGTTTTGTAAACATGTCATCGAAAGCCAAGAAAATTTATTTGTGACTTTGTTATGTTGGGAGGCATCGGTGGTCTAGTTTTGTTTCTTCTTTTTACTTCCTTTATGACATTTTTCCTCATCAGCTTTTATTATTTACAAAGTGTTCTTTTCTTCCTTTCTTTTTTTTTTTCTTTTTTTCTCATTTTGATTTTAGCATAGATTATATTTACCTCAACAAGTAGTCATTTATAGTAAATAGACACGCACACAGTCTATGGCTTTTTTATTTGTTTATCGTTAGGAAGTTTCCTTTTATTCATTCTCTTCTCTTTTTTTATTGTTTTTATTTGAAATAAAATTTCACGAAGTAAATTTTTCATGTTTAACAAGTGAGATAGGCGACACTATAGCGCGATTACAATTAATTATTCCATGGGCCAGGGGAGAATTTATTTCATTAGATTTATGTGACTTGACTGTAGCAATATTCCCATTCCCATGCTGCCAATTAAGCTATAATTGATCGTAAATATCAGGAAGCTCAACTGTATGGGATTTTTATGAATGAAAAGTTCGAAACGTTTTCTCTTCTATCGTCATTAATAAAATTTTTGAGACATAAGAAGATAAGGTAAAATTAATATGAATCTCATTTCTTAACATTTTTAACCGTTGATGTTGTAAGTAACGATCGAAAATGTTCTGCTTCTTGTCATAAAACAATAAAATTGAAAATTTCTATAAAAATTAAGTAAAAAGCAAACTCGAGCATCTTTTCATGAATCTCCATAAATTTTATAGTTCTTCTGAGTTGCTCTGAATTTCTTTGTCCATAAAACTCTCGACTTACTGTAATGAATTTTCGTCTTTGAAACCTTCAAATGTTTTTGTTCAACTGCATTAAACAAACAGCTTCTGTTTGTAAAAAATAACTTCCAAACCAAACGCTACAGTATGTTTTGGCAACATAAACATTACGTAATATGCTTTTCAACCAGTTGATCACTAAATAATATTTCAGCAATTTTTTTTCATTTTTTTTACTTAAATCGAAATTTTATCTAACAAATTTTAAATGTTATCGTTGATTTTCTTTTCACTACATTTAACACGACTTATTTTTTCAAATAAATATCTAATTAAACATTTCATGTCTAACAAATCAAATTGAAACTTTTTTAATGCAATCTTTTTAATCCATAAATTTTTTTCTATTATAATTCATCCATGCTTACATCATCGACATCACATTACCATAATTCGGACATTGCTTATGCTTCTGCAATGAGTAGTATAAACTGGATTTCAGTGGTTTATCTGGTCGTTCAACCTCTGGAAATGCTCGTGACGAAGAAGGAAATTCGGGCATGCAAGGATCCGATTCAAAAGGATCAGCAACTAGCGAAGGAAGTATGTGACAGTACGGGATGCGTCGCGGTAAAGGCGACGCCAGAAGAACCAGGGTCTCGTTTCTGTTATTTTAAATCTGAACAGTTCAGAATTGTAAACGAAAACACCATCAAGACTCTGATGAACAAAAGCTTTGCTTTAAGCTTCTATGGTGCTTACAAATTAAGCATGAAGGCATTTTAAAAGCGATCCAAAGCATTTTGAAGCTTATATTTTTCATGCAATTGAGAAAACCAAAATTGTGGCAAAAGAAGAAAAAATAATAAGAATCATTAAGTATTAAGTAATCAATAAATTCACAATATACTTATGTATTTACACATAATTGAGGTTAGTGAATCATTTCATTCTTCAAATTCCCTTTGCATATTCATCTCGTGTTCTCTCGAATATATTTACATTTAAGTAGACATTTAATCGAAGAAAATAATTAATAAAGAGTGAATAATTTTTTGTACCTGTTTCGAATAATGAAAAATTGTAGAATTCTTTTTACAATTGGCCTGAATTCGATTTTGATACCATTCTTGTTTCTTTGAGACATCAAAAAAATAAAAAAGTTTTGAAAACATTACGAATGCATATATGATGTATTTTTGTAGTTAGATTTTTGTAGTGAAAGGTGAACAATCATCGAATATATGATTATGCAAAACAAAAGAAATAAATAATTTTAAGTAATAAATGAAATTCTGAGTTTCGAAATCGCGATTAATCAACCATGAAGTAATTGAAAATAAAAAAAGTTCTGTGAAACTTTGAGAAGAACAATCATTAATAGAAATCATAAAACTGTAAAGTTTTAGACGTTACTTATCTGTAAATGATTTGGAAAAAGAGAAATAATAATTAATAAAATCAATCTGAAATTCATATATTTACAAGTTGTTCTAGCTAAGTAGATAGAGTCCCATGAACTTCAAGAAATTATCAGATTTGAATATTTTAGAAAATCAGCCAAATGATGATCCTATGAAAAGTTATACAATAGATATTCATATGAAATAAGAATCTCGGTAACTCGACAACATATGAAATTATCTAAGTTTTTAAAGATTTTATTCTAAAATAAACAAACAAAAACTGTTCAATTTTATTGTTTCCAAATTTAATAAATCTTGAATATTCTCACAAAACTATGACAGATATCATGAAAGAAATAATTAAAAGAAAATATTTACATAAAGATTTAGCGTCTTCCATTCTTAATCATGAGATAATCTTTCTTCAATTCTTCAAAACGAAATCTTTCTTTTATTTTTTATCCAGTCAAAAATTTCAATGTTTCGGAAATCAAAGATTATAAATAAATAAATATTTTCGATAAACATCATACTTGAAAAAATATTTATAAATGTGACAAATAAAATCTACGTGATTTATGCAAAGATCTAAATGTTATGTCACGATGTAGTGAGAAAACAAATAATAGTAAAGCAGGTACATAGAATATAGAAAATAATAAAGCATCGTTATCAATGCAACCAAATTGCAATGGCTACGCCAATGTATAAAAAGTAATTTCTTTTATAACATTTTAAATCTAATCTTTCTGCTAAGACGTTCTAACTTTTGCACAAGTCTTGAATTGAAGGCTTTTGTTCATTTTCATACTCACCAATTATTGAGATATTATTCTCAAAGTTTCATATTTTTTTATTTATGCAAAGAAATTTCCTTTCATTGTAAGACTCTCATCATACCAGATATACGTGAGATAGAGAATGTAATTAAGGCATATAAATAATTTGATACTGAATGAATGCGACAAGTTTCACTATTCCAGCTATTATTTCGATTTTCCTTTCTTCAATTTAGTGAAATTGAACAAAAGAAATACAAAGATTGATACAAATCGAGATTTCCTTTTGAAAAGTCTTTCTAAAATTAAATACCAAAAAATACTTTTTCGCTCTTTGAAGTTCTTGAAAATTTAATCTTTTACATAGATAGAATGTTAGTAAAGAAAGGAAGCTATATTTTATCATTATTCCAAAGAAGAATGTGTAATAGGATCTACATTTATATTTTTCATAATATAATGAAACTTAATAAAATGAGAGCTTTTATAGATTTTTTCATAAACCAAACTTGAATTAGAATGTCAAATCTTTATATTGTAAATGTTTCTATATTCAACTAGTTAGTATATAACAATAAATGATATTATTCTATGAAAATTCTCCGAAAATCTTTTGCTGAGGTTTTAATAAAAAAAAGTTTTCCTTCTTTTCAGGTCGAAGCATTTCCATCATCAGTGATTGAAAATCTTTTGAATTTTTATAAAAATAAAATATTTATTTACATTCTTTTTGCTTTCAGAGGAAAGTTTCCACTTTATGATAACATGTAAATATGATTACTTTATGTAATTTAACTGGACAAGCTTCTTGAAAGAATATTAAATAAGAAAATTTTTATAATTGCACTTTAAACTGTTAGGTATGTATAGAAAATCTCTAAATGATTCTTATCTTAAATTATTCTAACCATAAGAAATAACTTATTTGAAGTTAAAATACTTGACAACATGAACTGAAATTTTAAAATCAAGAATAAAAGCTTAACTTAATATTTTGCTTATAAAAAGTTTCAAATTTGATATAATACAAAAGAAAATTAAATTTGAAAAACTTTGGTGATTAAAATATTATTAAATCTAAAATATTTAGTCAATTTTTTGAGTAAAAGAATCAATTTACATATGTAATTAAGGCATAAAGCGTAGCAAGAGCAATAAAAAAATGAAATCCATTACTAAGGGTCATTGCTTTATGAACCGATTATTATTAACTTTTTTATACAATTGGTTTCAAAATTAAATTAATGGTTTTCCTGGTTTCAGAATTCAAAATTTATAAATATTATTAAATTTGTTCAAACTTGTTAGTGGTTTTCGTAAAGTTTAAAAGCCATTTGTTTTTGGATTTTAAGCAAATAAATTTCTTAAGCTTGCATTACTAATATAGATTAGAATCATATGATTTTGTTGTTTAAAATAATTCCACTAGAATATTTAGGCAAGAAAAAGCTTCTTAATGATGAGTCAATGTTTAGATAATAGCAATACATAAAAATTCAATAACAGTTTGGCACTTAGGGTCATAAAACACCAATCTTTTGAACGTTAATTAGTTGAAGCTTTCTTCGCGATGGTGAACAAAAACTTTCCAATCAATTTTAAGACCCTGCAAGGTCATCTATGAAAGGCAAATTTTGTTTTAACTAAATTCATTAAAGCTTTAATCAACTTTTTTTGCTGCCACAGTCTTCTTTTTATAGAAATTTTGAATGTAGAAATTCATGAAGAGTGAGAAGAAAATAAGTGAATTGATGAGTAGAAGCGACGAGACGAAAGGTGGGAATGCGCAGCCAGTATAAAGAGCTCGAATGTTGTGAAATATGCAAAGTACAAATTGTGCCTGAAATGAGAAATTGAAAACATTATAAGTTAGATATCAATTGAATGAAATTATTCTGTAAAGTTCCTTCTTTGCGTTGGCAGTGAACTTTACAGCAAATCTTCCACCGTAATTCATGCTCACGATTTTCATTTTGATTTAAGTAAACAAATGTATTCTGGAGTTCATGTTCAACGTTTAAGTAAAAATAAAGTAAAGAAATAAGAATGTAGGTTAAACAATATCTATTGAATGTTTATGATCAATTCTCGTTTATGCTAACATATGCTAACGTTAGACTGAAGCAGGTTTTCTGTATTTGATTTAATATTGCGCAATATATATTTAGCAGCCTTCGGCGTGCATTTTTATATCATATTTAAACGTTCTAAATAGCCAATTTAATTCATTCAATCAGATATAAAAATCAGTAATTAAAATTAAAGAAGTTTAATAATTTATTAATTGAAATTGTCATTTAATAGTCAAATATTAATTTCATTTAATAACTTCAATTAAATGAAAGCCCAGAAATATCAAATATTAAATTTAATCAAATCAGAATTCAAGTATTTTGCACACACTTGTGAGTTTATCGTAAAACCGACGACTCACTCAGAGATGACAATGATTGTTACTAACAATCATCAAACAGCTTTAAACGAGATAAACATGAAACATTGAGGCTTAAAATTAAGTAAAACAATCATGTTTGCCTACTTTAATTTTTCTTAAGAAATAATTCACATTGAAAGTGAAACTGAATGTCATTGCTCTCAATTTGAGGCGCGACCATCGTACACATATTTAATATTTCTTGTCTCTACTTAGTTATATTGCAAAGTCAATGAATAAAAGCGGCAGCGGCATGAGTAAGAAAATATTATCGCATTTCGAGATGTTTTTTCAAGGTTGACAAGAGTCAAAGTGTTGTAGTAGCTATAAATGTGTAAAGCCAAGATATTCATGTGCTTATGTACTTATTTCTTCGTTAATTGTTTTCAATAAAGCTTTGATAAATTTCTCAATACTTACAATTTGAAGTTCTGTCATGTACCGTTTCCACCACAAATATTTTTGGTATTGTGGTCCCAAAGCTGCCAACAAGTAGTAAAAGTACATTAAAATATGTACAAAGTTGTTGAGAATATTCGGAAATGTTGCATTTCCACCTGAAAAATCATAAAAATTCGTTTACACACATAGACATGAAAATTTTTATGTTTCCATCGAACCTGAAATGAACTTGACTAACATCCATGCTTCTATCGGTGTCAATGCATGATGGTACAAATGAAGCCAGCTGATTTGATTTTTCTTCTTTCGCAGCACAAAGAACACAGTATCGGCAAATTCAGTTAATTTGGATAAGTAGTAGACATAGCACAAATTGAACATCTGGAATAATATAAAAATTGATTAAACATAATTGAAAGTCAGGAAAATATAAAAAAAAAGAAATGGAAAGTACGTGCAAGTGTCTAGGAAATCGGTGAAGTCGCCACTTCGATAAGCATACATATCAGGAATGACCTTCAAATGTGCAAAGTGAAAAACATAACTTCAAGACAAGTTTTTTTTCCGTTCAAGCTAAAATGAGTTCAATATTTGTAATAGTGAAAGCAATCTACTGCAATTCACTATTTTTGTACATGTAAGAAACCGACAAGGTCAATCTGGTGCATAAATATAAGTTCAAAACCATGTTGCCTCATTTTTGAACATGAAACTTGAATAGAAATGACATGCTTAACATCAGCAGTCACATTCCACTCGAATTTGTCACCTGCTTGATAATTATTTTATTATAAAGATAATAAAATTTATGATTTTTCGCATTAAACTAAATGCAAATATTATTAGAGTGTTAAACGAAATAAGCATTATAAAATCACAAATCATTCAAACTTATTCTTGTTGGACGAGATTTTATATTTTATTTCTCTTTCATTGACGCTATGACCATCAAAAAACATTTTTTTATATGCGTCACAAACTGGGACATCAACTTTTCTCCCTTAGCTGTTTGAAGTATCAATGTTCACATTGAATTGGCGCGAGTCTTTGATCCGATTCGATTAGTTTTATCAAGAGATATTTAGTCTAAACCAGTTATAATCATGTTTGTTGTGTTACTAAGCTGACCGAAGCACGTTTCGTTTAATAAATTCGCATCGAATATCATCATAAATATTCATTGATTGAGACTTACCCGTCTTGACTGTGGACCATCAGAATAATCAACCGTTTCACATGTAAAACTATATCCTTTCATCCACCCGGACATTAGATGCTAAAATATAAGAAATGAAACAGACAGATTGTCGTCAAGTATTTTTCTTAAATTTGAGCAGATGTAAAAAGAAAATATTTGATTACCTCGTAAAACATGTAGGCACTAAGAAGAACTTGAAAAGCGTTGTAATAAATAAGCGTATTTCTCAGACTATGTGCTTTTCTATCACGCATATATAATGGACCAATAACGACAACCCATGATAAGTAAAGAAGGATGAATGCTACTGTCGGTATTGGTGTGTCCATTAGAGGAAAATGCTTTACTCTTCTATCTGTAAATATAAGAAAATTGTATTTTATTACTAGAAATTGGAAAATTCACATTCAAGCACACGATTTGGATGGCAAGTGGACTTTGCCTTTGAGGCTTCTTCCTAATTTTAAATACATTCCAAATGAATTCGGGGATTTCCTGAAGTCTGCCATCGAACTTCATCAAAAATCACATGCGATGGGTTTTTCATGTTCATGGTCATTATGTCTGCGCTACACCGAAGATGAATTGACAAACGCGTATAAAAATTCATCTCATGGTTTGAATTCAAGCACTTTGCTTAAAAAATAAATTCCCCAAATAATTATAATCCACTAAGAAGTAATATATGTATGTGATGTCATGAAATTAATTTCTTGGTCTTTCGCTTTTGAGAAATAAGAAATAACAAAAGTTACATCAGCCTTAAATTGCGATGGTAAATCTACTTGAAGAAAAAAAAAAACTTTAAATGTTGAATCGAATCAACAAATGTTGATGACGTCACGGTAATTTCAGTTCATCGCACATGTAAGCTTACTTTATTTTATTTTCATACAAATTCCCAAGTCTTGGAAAGTCCGAACAAGAAAAAATAAGAAAAAGACCGTAGACAATTTCATGGTGATGGCAAATCTACAAGCAATTTAATAGTCAGGAATGGTCCGATGAAAGTTCATTATTTACTCATTAATTCTGATGTGTCGTGAAACAACATACGATTTTAATGATAATTTTCATATATTTGAACGTATTACGTAAGACGTCAAATAGTTTAAGACACTCACCTCCTAATTTTTCATCTATTACTGTCCAATATCTGATTATAAGATCTGTCCAATTCTGTTGCGGTGAGTTATACTCTTCCACAGCCATTTTAACAAAATTTCTAGGGAACGAAAGCACCCCATCGTAATCTGTGAAGTTGTCCATTTCTGGATCACTGATCGAGCTTGCTATCACAGTTTCCAAAAATGATTAATGTTTATTTTTCTCCGTTTTATCTCTCGACTCTTTCCTTTAGCTGATTGCCTTGATATCGATTGCAAATAGCGTTTTTTTACACTTCACATACAAATAACTGATCAGATAATTTTTAATCTTTTTGTTTCAAAAACTTTAAATCTTTAAAAGCATGGAACTAACTCTCAGCTAATTATTTCTTTTGTATTAAATTTATCTCGGATATTTTACTACTCAAATATTTGCAAGCAATTTACACATAAAATAAACTTAAGATTTAACAAACTTTGTATTATTCTATGAGCGTTGAGTCTTAGCATCCGATTCTGTTGAAGGTTTGAATGAAACTAACTTATTGACGACTACTTCACCTAGTATTTTTTGTATTTAATACATTTTAGAGATTTGCTTTTTTTATTCCATCTGTTCAATGAACGATCGAATAAATTTAAACACTCACACACACACATTCATAAAGACGATCGCACAATTTAAAGAATATCCGATTGCTCTGTGATTTTTCTTTCTCTGCGAGCAAATAATTTACAAACAACAAAAATACCACCAAAAGTTTCGTGTGGTGCGTTGACCACCACATATGTTCAACACCACTCTTTTCTCTCTTGCACACATGATGTCCTTCGAAATGAACACCACAAATTTTTTAAGGAAAATTCATATCGCGAAATAAGCTGTGCAATAGTTGAATCTTTCATTTATAATTTCCCCTCCTTTTGTATGATTTTCATTCATATTATTATTGATGATATTCACTCCAATTACTAACTGCGGTGGAGAATTTAAATACTTACTTAGATAATCAGTAGACCAAATAACTTTGACCTTTGGAAAAAGCTAAAGTTCTCATCATTAATATAGTTTATGTCAATCGTCAATTGGTTAACTGAGTAAGTAAACACATCAAAACGACAAGTTGAAGCGCCTTAACTTAGCTTATTTTACTCGTTGAGGTCATTTCATTGATGATCATGAGAAAGAATGTGTTGTTGGATGTTGTTGTTATTAAACTTCAGTATAAATAATAATAAAAAGCATCTCGTACATGTACAGCTAATGCCATCGTCATGGATCGAAGAGTGAAAAAGAAGCAATAAGATTAAAGATAAACATTCACCAGTCAGTAATATCTAATTCAATAGTCTTCAATTTATTTTTCTAACTACTCTCCAACAGCTGACACTGTCGCTTCCAATATATGATGGTCAATCCACCAAAATAAACATTATTGCTAAATATTTGTAAGTGATAATTTCTAAGCTTAAATGTGAGTTTATAAATAAAAAGAAAATGAAAAACTTGGGCCTCAAACTAATATTTTCTCAAAAATACATGATCTATGACGAACTGAAATTTTAAGCGTTATTTGGCAAGCTTAAACTACGCACATAAAAACACTTGCAAATACATTAACAGCAATTGTCGAAAAATCAGCTTGTAAAATGAATTGGAAAAAGTTTCGTAAGCATCCATAATAAATTTCAGTTAAGTCATTAAGAAACTTTCGATTGGGTCTTCTACACATGCATAAAAAATAGAATAATTTAAAAGAAATTTAATTTATTTCAAATTGATCTTCTTTAATAAGTCATAATCAACTCGTGCAGTAAATTACTTAACTACAAATTCAGTTCCGTCATAAAATTGATAGCAATTAAAATGTTCTTAGAAGTGAACCTTTAAACTTGAACTTGTGATGAGAAAGCAAAACTCATTTTTAACTGAATACAAACAAAAACAATTTCTCAACATTCTTATTTCGTATTAAAATTTGAATAACATTTCGATCATCGTGAGTCAACAGTTTTTGAGCTTGCACCCATAGTCGTCTTCAATAAATTACGATTTTAACGTTAAAATGTCCAAAATACTTATATACAGAATTTTATCACATAGCCAACACATTTGTATTTCATTTTCTTGCACATTTTTCTTTAAATTCCCTAATAGCAATTGCGGAGTTTAACCTTGCATTTCATGTGCATGCTCATCGATTCCTCAATTTCCAATCAAGTCATGGCAGAAAAAAATCAAGTTTTCCATTCACACAAACACAAATTCAGTTCTTTTTACATATTTTAGCGAAACGGATTATTTTATCAAGCCAAAGAGGGACAACATTAGAGATAACGTTACTTCAAAATATAAGCAAACATCAGCTTATTCTGACGCAGATAAAGAAAGACTTCAATGCTGCGTCAGAAGAGTTATCATCGTAAATCACGTAGATAAAAATATTTTCGTGCTGAACCCAAAGTTTTAAAAAAAAGGTTTTTCAAAAATATCCATCTAAGGTCGTCAAGAATAAACTTTGGTAGGCGTGATGCCAAATATTCTAATAGATCGCAATATTTTAAAATTTATTGCTGAACCATAAAAATTTTTTGGATCTTAAAGCTAAACTTGATTGCTCTTGAACTAAATAGTTAACTCTACTTAGCTAACTTTTTCATATACCAAGTGCATGTATGCACTTCATTGCGAATTATGCAATCATCGGCAAATGCAGAAAAATATTTTCTTCCAAGTGAAAAACAAGTTTGTTTGATCTTACCATTGATTTTTTTCTATTGAGTATCAAAGTCGACTTGTAAATTTTTCTTGTGCTTCGTCGCTTTGGGAAGGTTGATGGCATATAATTTACTTGTTTTAAATTGAAAATGTTTTTAGTACTTTCAGGCACATGAACTTTTATTTCGATATAAAAAAATCCGGTTGCAGGACGTAAAGTTTATTGAACTTCATTTTCAATGCTGCGTTTTCAACATGAATCAGGTTCTGATATTTAGCATTCTGGAAAGAATTTATGTCAATAATAATCCAGTATTTGATGATAGTGTTTACAAAGATAAAGTCAAAGCTGCGTCGAGCTTGCAGATGGAGGATTGCGATGCTTGAATGCATGTCACGGCCTTAAGCAATTGTGCATATAGATTTAAGTAAAAACTTAATTCCGATATTTAAATCGGAATATAAACAAGCGAAAAATTAGTTATGCTTACTCATATGAAATAAATAAAACAAAGGACTTTCAATGCTCAAAAAACTGATTAGATATTTGCTTTTAAAATGTTTCCTGGTGAAACTTTTCATTATCAAAAGAAGTTTGAAAAAGTAATTAATTTGGTACATCCGCATTTGTTTGTGTCAATAATTGCAGGTCAACTTTTTTACTTAAATAATTTAATTAACTTTCGCAATGTGCGATTTTTAACAAACATTTACAATTAAATGTCGTAGAAAGGCCAAAGGAGACAAAATTTAAATTTTATTTTTATTTTTCACGAGATTTTTTGATTCGACGTCAAGATGACTTTTCGAAATGGATACACCTGGATTAAAATCTTGTATTATGAAAACCATGTGAGAAAGATTCCAAAAATAAGGCTGGAATCAAAATATTCTTCAAAAACTCGTACTGATGATGACATAGGCAATTTATTATAAAATATCAGAAAGCTAGATATGCAGATTAAATTATCAATGAGACATTTTCATTATGAAATCGAATAATAACTAAATGATAAATAAAATTTATTCTCCTACAGTTCCAAAGCACTAAAATTTTAAACAGATGCTTCTGGAAGTCTCGAGACTTCCAATAAAACCAGTTCCTTAGTTCATTGAACGGATCCACCGGAAAGTTTGCTATCGAAATAAATATAAAAGCTTACGATATTTATAAATTAAGTTTGCAATGTGTAAAGGAACCATGAACTTATGAATGATATCGACACTCCATTCAGAAGTTTTAGTTACAACTCTGGTTCCGGAAATAAACAGTTAAATACAATGACAACAAGAATAAGAAACTTCCTCTCTTCGATCTCACAATATTCTACGTTTATTCAACCATATACATATTTGTAGAACTGAAATTTATGGGAGCACAATGATTTTGCAAATTTAAACAGAATTTCTTCAAAACAAATTAAAATGTTCTGACGCAGTTTCTTACGGGATCTGAAACCAGTTTCATTCCTTGCACAGAATATAAATAAACAGTGAACGAGAATATTGTTTCATTCTAAGAGGAAAACATTTTTGTCTGATTAGTTTCAAAATTTATCTGAATTAATTAGCAACTCATGACGATAATTCATATAAACAAAATTTGCATACTTTCTGATGTCAGAGACTTAATTGAGGGAATCAAAAACATTTTTTGTTTTGTTTGCTTTTCTACGCATAAAATTAAAAAAATATTTTAATATTGGGTATTTCAGCAGGAATTGCTACAAAATATAGATTCAGGAAGAGCTACTATAACTACACAAAGCAGACATGTTATTGTGAAGGTAGTCAAGCTTGTGGGAAATCCGAGCAGTAAACCGTGCAAAATCTTCACTTATAATTTAAGTATATTTATGTCAATTTTGTGATAAAATGTTGTCACCTGTTTATCATTTATGGAATATGACACACATATGTAATAAAAGTTTTGTTTTCAATAAGTTAGAGACTAAAATATCCATGTTCGTAGAATATCTGATTTTCTACATCCAAATATCTTTTAATACATATTTTTATATTATTAACATTTCAATATGGCATAAAACATTAAAACAGTGACTTCAAATGAATCTACTATAAATCATACGATTTTTTCCTAAAATGAGATTTTAATCATATAACACAAAATTATCATAGAAAACTATCAGACAGTTTCATTATGTTTAGCTGATGATATTTGTATGACTGTTGTAGGGTTCCAGATATATTTAATTTTCTTGATACAAAGTTGAAAGAAAGCATAACGAGAATTGAATTGGATAATAAAGATTTGGTTATTAAATTTTTACTGTTTATTAATTTTTGTGATTGAATATTCTAAAAGGAATCGACAAATGTCTCAAGAATAATTAAAAAAAGTTATAATTCTTAAAAATTGTGGACAAAGAAATCATGCAGAAAGTACAAAAGATTGAGACATCCTTATGCGCAATAAGAATAAGTAACATAAATATTAACAAAATATTAAAGAGTATTCTTGCATGAAAACTGAAATTAGGGTATTTGCTTCTTTAAAAATGTTACGGTTGATAGGAATCGTAACTAGCAATTTTAAAATTATGTACAAAGATGTCAATAAAGAATTATTTAATAATATTAAGCGATGATGAATGAAATACTGATAACCAATTATAAGAAATTTTGAGTGATTTTCCGTCATGTTTCTCCAAAACATTTAATCAGTCGACAGCTATGCATATAATTATCGACCAAAAATCGTTTGACATTTTCATATCATTTTATTCAATTTAATTGTGAAACATTTTATTCGACTACTTGGAACCTGTTTCCTCTTCGTTATTCGCAAGACTATGAAAGTTTATCAATTTAATTTTTGGTTTCGGGGCGTTGTCATAGTATTCAAGATATTGACTCAAATCAACTCCATTGATTTCACCTATTATACCTTACATCAAGTGTTGCGTAAACGGCACTATTTCACTGTCACAAACAGATTTATACGTTTCAGAAAAGAGCGTGACAGTTCTGCTACGTTTTTTTTCTTTAGAATCTGAAACAATGTTAAATAAAATACAAAATGTATGAGAATTTATTTTTCCCTATTAATGCAGCGGATTTATAAAAAAAGAGAAACTGAAATCATCTCATTCCGTGTATTGAATGAATTTTTTAATGAAAATGAAAGCTTATTTACAATTTATATTACCTAAGTTTAAATCTTCTCGAAGATTCAACATATCTTCTTCTTAAGGGTAACATTCGAGTACATATAAATGAAGGCAAACAGTTCAAGAACGATTAAATTCTTGTACAGTAAAAAATTCAACATAACTTGTTGGCTTCAGGGGATTTCCCTTAGTTTGCAGGTGTAACTACATTAACTGAAACACTAAAAGGATTTCTCTTAAATTTTCTTTTTAGTTTTAAGATGAATAACGATAACTTGTTTCTAAATAACTTTTTAACCTTCAATTCATCCTACGGCACAACGAATTGTCAAAAAATTTCAGATTCTAGTTTTTCACAATTCGTAAACAAACCTGTTCAATCAAGTCCTGTCAAGGAAGGTCGATTAACAAGTTTAGTTACGAACGAAAAATTTATTTACGTCATTTATTGACTTTACGTCAAGAGAAATTGGTTAAAAAGCTTTCTTGATCGGTAGTCATTAAAAATTAATTCAGAATTTTATGTTGTTTGTATCATGTCATTCTCATTTTTATAAATAGAACCGACGCAAACGATGTAAAAATAAGAAAAAAAATCATCGAGAATATTTAAAGTAAATCGTTTTCTGATTGAGATATCAATGATGATAAGTACATTGTCTGAATTGAAAGATCATACACGCTGCTAAACGTTGTAAACCACCAAATGACTTTTTACAGTGATCGAACAACAAGTTAACCACATTTTAACAAACTAGAAGAATGAATAAATGACAAAATAAAACAGTAAATTATTAAACACTTTATTCTGCAACAAGTTCAATATAACTTAGCTAAAATTAAGTTTAAATTTTGTGGAACATGACCTTGAATTTTTCTTACTTACAATACACTCTTGGTCATTCATTCAATAATTTTCGTAGTATGAAGAGAAATAATTAAGTACCTCTGCGTGGTTCAATTAGAAATAACTTAAATTACTTTGCTGACTTCTTATTACACATTTTAACAAAAAAATATAAATTTCCTTTAAGATAAGTAAATGAAATATTTTAAATCCCGGAAACATAATCATTAATTGTTCCGAAATTATTGTTTATCAAAATCAACACCACAATGATATTGAAAACATCGAATGCTTCATGTATTCATCATGAATCTGATGGTGATGCAACTTACAGACGAATAAGAAAGTACAAGGTCACAGATATTCATATTTTTTTCTTCTTAAAATGGTTCATGACGAGATTGAACTCTTGGAATTGGAAAAAGAGTAATATATGCATGTAAAACGAGCAACGAGAGAATCAAGGTCGATTGGTAATTTTATTTTGACGTGCATGGCGAATAATTCCATTTCATAAGTTCAATTAAGAAACTGCACTACCTTAATTTGCAATAAATATGCTGTATGATTTTTTTTTATAATTTACGTTTTAATTCGAAATCGTCTACATAAATAGGGTCTTAATTTCATTGAAATGCGATGTTAAGCCTCAAATTAATATCAATTGAGAAATCTTCGAAAATGTAAGTTATGTCACATTCATGAATGAAACAGATAAATGCAAAAAACTTGCTTTTTTCTTTTGTTTGTTGATGCTTCCTCAATCTTTTCAATTCAGCTGTTTATGTAGGCCACAGCACACTACAACCGTGGTCGCGGTGAAATGGAGTGTTAACTAACGATAAAGTATTAGATATGTAGATAAACATGATTAAAACTTATGTTATAAAATTTCAAAATTAAACGAAGGTCAAAGATTCGGGTCAATAGTTTTATTTTAAGAGATGTCAGGGTTGACATACTATGGAATGGTCTCACGATAAGACTCATTAAACACAAATTAAAGAGTGCAAATTCATTGCGTCAGTTCCCGATTAATTTAACTACGTTATTTTGAATCACAAATCACACAAGCTTTTCTGAACTGAACCTCGATGAATTAACCTTATGGACTTTACATTTATAAATTCTAAACAGTTTGCGTTACAAACGTCATTCATGACAATTAAAAAGTGCACCTAGAATAGTTTTAATTTTACATTTTACTAGTGCAGTTTTATTCATCGCAAGGCAACTTTAAGTTGTCAATAATTATTCATAGATAGTAGATAGTTCAGTTCACAGACGTGATTCGTAAAGATATTTCGTATGATGGGCGCAGGTGTATCTGAAGAGAAGACTTAAACACAACCGTGAAGTTATATGAGAGCAAAAGACGAAAATCTTCACAATCACACACAAAAAAATTTATCCAAAAATTACCAAAAACCCCACTCGGGTATAACTTCGTAGATATATTTCTTGGCTTCTTTTTTCGGATTTTACCAGCAATAAACTACGAGAGGAAAAAAGACATAATAACATTCGGGTGGACTCTGATACTCTTGACGCTGTTGTAGTTCGTAGTACAACAAAAAAAAAACAATCTCACTTAAAATGAAACTGCGAGGCTGACAATACTTTTCGATCAGTTCTTCTTAAGGATTCAGTGTAATCGGACGTGTTGTTAAAAGTTTTTATTATTTTTAAGTTTTTTTTTGTTTATGCTTTTGAAATTGGTCACATTTTCTTGTGGGCTTAGACCTTGAAATATTTGCAGTGGTTGCAATCGATGTGCAACTGACTTTCTGAAGAAAAAATACAAAGAAATATTTCTTTTTATCAAAAAGAAAAATCCTTTCACATTCAGAAGAGATTTCGGTTTTCAGTGTCATAAAGTCGCATAGTACTGAACTTTTAGTCAGAGAAAGGAATTGCTTAAGGTTTAAAACCGTGAAAAGAAGAAATAAAAGTGACGGGTGTTCTTGTTCAACAACATTAAAGAGAATCTTGCATCTTTAAAAAAATAAATGAAATAATTGAAGTGGATTGAGAATTTTACGTCGAGGACACAGACAAATTGTACGTTAAGTGTTGTTGTACAATCGCATTCATTATCGAAAATTTAGAAAGGTAACCTAAATTATGACTACATTATTATGATTTTGAAGAGTTTTTAAGTAAACGAGTTTACACTTCGCCCTTGAGAAATACCAATAATTATAAAATTTCACCTGTTGCATACTTTCAATCATTTTTTCTGAACTAACTAAGTTTTCTCTTTCTTCTCCCTTTTGTTTTTTGGTATTTCTTATCATTTTTCTATCTGAAATGCAGTTGAAGTTGAGTTACGGACGAGACAAGTTGCGACAAAATTTGGTTACGCGAATTGTTAGTTGAAATTTATTTAAAATCTTTGCTAAGTCACAAGAGTTGTAATAGTCAAACATTTTCTTGAATTTAAAAAATAAATAGATAAACATGGTGATGGATTTTTTCCGGGTTTACATTTTGCTTTTTATGATGCTTTGAAGATTTTTTTTGGCTAAATGACTGTGTGAAGTCAGAAGTTGTCTTGTTTGCATTCATTCACTCGTGCTTAACAAAATACATAAATCATGGACTTGAAGTTTTATTCTAATTTTATACCTCGCCAAAAAGTCTCACATGACATAATAATTGGACAGAAATTTTTTTTACTGATTGTGTGGAAAATATCTCCAAATATCGAAGTAAAGGTTTTAGTTTTTCGGAGTTCATCTGACATTCAAGACATGCAAAAAAGAAATAATAAGATGAGAAGAGTTTACTTAAACATTCAATGAGCAAAGCTTTACATGGCCGAAAAGAAACCAAAGATGATTTTTTCAATGCCAGAAAGACGATGTTGAAACACCAATTACCAAAAAACTGCTGTTTAGTTAATAATTTCATGAACGATTTGGTGCAATTAAAACTTGAATTTAAAGCCTTTCAAAAATCTTTCTTCACTTTACATGTTTCTGAATCTTTTTTTGTCTTTGAAACTTTTACAAAAAATTTCTTAGCAAAAATTTCACAATTTTCAAGGTTGATCGAAATAGTTTGATCTGAAATTAATTAAGATTTGAACGATTGTTGTATGTCTATTTTGGGGCAAATGTTTTGCAACAATATCGTTTCCAAAATATAATTGAAAGTAAAATTGAAATAAGTGTGATTAGGCAATTCCCATTCTCGAATTTTATTTTGTGTAGCTACGAGATTTTTATTGATTTTATTTTATTTTTTAAAAGTGTTGAAGTGAGAACGCTAACAGAGTCCAATCATTTAGCATTGAGATTTACAATTGTGCGCTGTTTGTGCTTCATCTTGAGTACACATTTGAATTAAGGGGTCGAGTAACGTGCACAAAGATTTTGCTGCTGAAGAAGCCTGGCAATGACTTCAATTCGTCAAATGTTGAGAGAAGAAGAAAAAAAAAATAGCGTCGACTATTAATGACCTCCAACACAAGCCGAGCCACGTTTTAAAAAAACCAATTTTAAGATTAAACGTCTTCGTGTGATGAAATTCAAAAAGTTTAGACAGAAATATCTTTTATACCCATTCGCCAGTAAGAAAGATCATCATCAATTAAACCGCGAATTTAATTAGTTTGCTTAAGTCAGCTTTACTTGTATCATGTAAACGTTCTTTAATTGTACATACCGACGTATCTGCTTATTTAAAATGAACAAATAAGCGTTAATTACATGAGAAACAAGCATTTATATCACTTTGATTGGCTCAAAACATTCAACACAAAAAATTGTAATATTTTTAAAGATTCGAGAACACACAGAAACGTGACAATTTAATTTCTGATGTGCTCATGTTAAGCGTGGACAAAGCCAATTTCCGAGTTAATCATAAGTGTCAAACAAAAGAAACACCAACGAAGTCAACAAATTCAAATGAAAATTTTCTGTTTTCACCAAGTTGGCTGATGGTAAAAAGTTGTTTCTCTTTTGTTTTTACTTATCTTCTTTTCATAATGTCAGGTCGCTGACAGTAGCAATCCAAAATGTGAATGAGAGTGACGCACAAATTTCGAAAATCAATTAAGCATTCATTTGAGGGAATTGCATAAATGATCACAACATTTACCTGCTTTTCTCGGTCGCTTTGATCACACGCTCGAAAAAAAAACATAAACAAAAGAAATAAAATGTTTTTCTAGTACGACATTTGTCTCATCAAAATTGCTAACGACCCAGTTAAAATTCACAAAGTTTTATTGCATTTTGCACTTATTTAGTAAAGACGGAATTGGTCAACATTGTAAAGAAACTAGCAAGAATAGAGAAGATATAAGATATCGTTTTAGTAAATATTCATTAAGATGACAAATAAGAAAAAATCTTTAGATCCAAACAATTTGAAGTTTCACACCCAGATGATAAATATTACTCAAACATAAATTTCCGGAAGTCCAAAAAGTATTTAAATAAATACTTGCAAATAACCTTTATTATTCGATTGGATTACTTTCTTATGAAAGACTTGAGTGAGCGCCTTCCTTTCTTGATTTGAAGCTCCAACTTTGTCACTTTACGTAACCATACATTCGTGTTCATCTCAATATGGTGTCATTATAGCTCCACTCAGAAGCTATTAAACTGATGTTAAAACTTATTACATGTTGTATGTCTATGAAGACGATTCGTTAATTGACGACAAAAAATATAAATATATAAATTACTCAAAGATGATTTTGCAGAAATATATAAAAATGAAGTTTTTGGGGGATATAAAATTGGTTGAGGGAAAACCAGTTGTAGATATTAAATGCGGATTCTAAACCATGTGTAAAAACCGAAGAGAATTTTGACCATGGCTAAGCAAAAAAATGTTAATAATCACCATTTCTGAATCTTCTTGCTGTTTTCGAGTGGAAATTTTTCAATATTCTTATTCATTTTGATTCTTGAACTTGTTCAAACTTTATAAGACTTTGTTTATGTTTTCAACGCAAGTTGCTTATTTATTTTTTTCATTCTTCATTATAAACATCGAATTCAATGGATCATCAATATGATTTTATTAGATTGTTTTCAAAGTCAATCGAATGAAAATGAAAATGAATTCAGTTTTATGATAAAACTTTTAATCTGTCTAATTTAACTGAACTTCGAAGATATTTTGTTTTTCTAATCAACACAAACTTGGCTGTTAATAAGAAGTGGATAGATGTTGTCACGTTTGTAATATAAAACAGAAAACTTTCGCTTATAAACATAAAGTTTTGGATGTGTGAACCGTTGTCATTTAAACATTACAAAAGAGTCAGCCAAAAATTTATAATCAACCTTGACATCGTCTTTTGGCTGCTGTTGGTTGTCACAATGAGAAACAAATATTGTAAAGAGATGATGATGGCGATGATTTTTCTGGACTTACATAATTCAGGGTACGCGAAGAAATAATCTTTGTGTGATCTTTTAGCAATGAATTTTTTATATTGTTTATTGCATTTGGGACAATCTGAGCGAGATTATTATTCATCATTAATTTTCCTTTCGCTTAAATGTGAGAAATTCTCTTGGAGCTTTAAGGTTGCATTTAATAAATATTTGCAAAGATAGATATAATTGTCGAAAATAGTTTTTCAATGGTCAATGATCAAATTAAGGTAATTTGTTAAAATGATTGCGGAAAAAGAGAAGAGTTAGTCAATTTCATAGCAGACCTCAATTTCGTCAGATGAAATAACACCTGAACCATAATAGCACCTAGCCCAGAAAATATTTCCTTCTTCTTCTTCTTCTTTCATAAAACTGGTTAATATTTTTATCAATAAAACTTCGTTAGGCAAGTCAAGATGAAATCATTTTAAATTTGCATATATTTTACAAGAAATGACGAAGTAAGGTGTTGATAAGCTTTCTTACCTTGAATAGTCTCAAAGTTGTAAGCATGTCAAGCTGAAATGTTCGTTAAGAACTTTCTCGATACATTTTCCACGAATTAATTACTCGAATGTAGAGCATTAAATTTTGGGCTTCTGCAATGCCAGTGGAATTTGAGAAAAGTGTCGAAAATTAACCTTGCAAGTAGTTTTAATAGTTAACTAGACAAACATAAATTGTTCGTGTCAAAATATACTCTAAACTAAACAGCGAACAATGAGACAAAATTATTACCTGTTTTAGTTTTATTATAAAAATAAAAAACAAAGTTAATTAATTAAGGGTCGAGAGATGCTTAAAGAGCTTTCAGCTTTTAAGATAAGTCTCAAGATTCACACAAGAGTTAGGTAGAGGTTATGCTAATTTTATGGTAGACTCTAATATATCCGGTTTCTATCGATTTCAACTTGTCTGTGAAAAAGAATGGTAATAAAAGCAACAGAAATATTTTCTACAATCGAACACGTGTTCAACAATATCGCGTGAAGATGCTTTCGATTATAAATTACTTTAAATTGAAGGACTTTTTCTTTATTAATGCGTAGCACATGCAAAATAACAAGATGTGAGTGCAATGGCGAAGCTTACACAAGTGGGATAATGAAAAACGAAAGAAAAGAGAAGAAGGAAAAAAGAATTACGAAACATTAATTGAAAGCGAAATATTTATGTATAATGAATCAGAAGTTCAAGATCAATAATGAAAAATGAAGTTGTTGTTTGATATAAAACTTGTCGGATTGAGTAATCGCTATTGGCCTAAAAATCTTAAAAACTATTCAGGTTAGGATTACAACGAGCACATATGCAACTCGTTCGTTTTCTGTGTCCCAACAAGTAAAAACACCAAAAAAAATAAATAAATGGAATATTAAGAAATTGACGGCCAAAGTTTCATTCGATTTCCACCTTTAAATATTCACAAATCTGGTTCCACAACATCCAAAATTTATTTATATTTTTTTTGCTTGAAGAAAACTAAGAGTTGAGACATAATTTTTTTTTCGACTTTAATTTTTGCAGATTAGCCCGAACAATCGGAGAGTGTGGATCGGAAAAAAACATTCGTCGCTGTTGTAGTCATCGCTTCAGCTCATACCACGGAATAATAGAAATCGGATGTGGTTTTAGGATTAAATAATAAACACAGCATAAAATATAGAATTTAATAAATTAACATAGTACATTCACTACGGTGGTCAAAGAAGTTAGCAAAATTTATCAAAAATGGAAGTTCAGAATAGTACGAGTGGAATAGGTCGCTACTGGGATTTTCTATTCATTGAATTAGCAGGTTTGTTAAAAGCGGAAATGGTTTTGAAAATTTTCAACTCAATGTGCTTTTTCTGAAACTTCAACAGATCCTCGGACAAATGATTGGCCTTTAATCAAATCACCAATGCCAGGCTTGACAATCATCGGTCTTTACCTATACTTTATCAATTCTTGGGGGCCTCGGTTTATGAAAGACCGCAAGCCATTCCAGTTCAAAAACACGTTGATTGTTTACAATTTCCTTCAAGTGCTTGTCAGCGTTTATCTTTTCACTGAGGTAAGTCTCGCCTCTTCTCAATCTTGATCGAATTAATGTGAAGTGCAATGTCATAAATTAATATCTGATTACACAGGGCATGAATGGAGGATGGCTCAGACATTATAGTTGGAGATGCCAGCCAGTCGATACATCAACAACGACATTTGGAATGAGAGTGAGTCTTGTGTTTTAATTTTATTAAATAAATACTTTAGGACAATCCACAAATAAATATTTACCAAGCCATACTTAATTACGACGGCGGAAATAATTTGAAATTCGAAAGAAACTTGTATAAAGTGCATAGTGTTAATAATTTTTTATCTTTGCAATTAAAATTGATAGGAAGCACGCGGTTGTTATGTTTATTTCATCGCCAAACTTACTGAACTTCTCGATACGGTCTTCTTCGTTCTAAGAAAAAAAGACAATCAAGTTTCGTTCTTACATTTGTATCATCACACTGTCATGCCAATGATTTCTTGGGGCTGTACAAAATACTTCCCTGGAGGACATGGCACTTTCATTGGTGTCATTAATTCCTTCGTTCACATCGTCATGTACTTCTATTATATGCTTGCTGCTATGGGACCTGAATTCCAAAAATATTTATGGTGGAAACATTGGATCACCAACTTGCAAATGGTACGCACAAATTTATTCTTGAATCGATAATTATTTGATTGAAATCAAAAGATAATTTAATGAGGTAAACATTAACGAATAAAATTACATCATCAACAGATTCAATTCGGTATGGCCTTCTTGCACTCTGCTCAATTACTTTACACAGACTGCGGCTATCCTCGTTGGTCCGTATGCTTCACAATGCCAAATGCCATCTTCTTCTATATGCTCTTTAATGATTTTTATAAGGTGAGTACGTGGACCCTGAAAAAGCTCTTTTCTCGCTTTTCGTAATATTTAAAATCACAACAGCGATGATGAGTTGCACAAGTTTATCTTCTTTCCTTCTTCTTATTTTTAACATTTTTTTTTATTTTCTTTCTTTTCATCCTCACACACAAACACACACACGCGATCGTACATAGAAATCATACAAGAAGAAAGGCAAAGCAGGAAAGGCCAATGCAAATGGAAAAATTCAAAACAGCAAATCTAATGGACACATCACACACGACATAAATCACAATGTAACGGATACGAAACCAAGTGAGAACAAGAAAGAGAATTAAATGTTCTGAAAGTCTTATACTTTAGTGTTTATTATTTTTAATTCAAACTGAGAGAAACGAAAACTACACTCATCTTTATCTTATTAACTAACGTACATAAAAACATAGTTCTTTGATTCATGAACAGACTTAAATACTTTCGTTTCAATGAGACAACGTAATAGAATAAGATTGAATCGTCAGTTACTTAAGTGCTTGTCGTTCAAAAGCGAAACAAAAAAAATATAAAAGAAACTCAGATTGCATTTCTTCCAACATTCAACAATCTTCAAGGATAACATGGAAGCTCCGATCATCAACTTTGACAAATTTAAACAGAAGACATTCACATTAAAAAATTTAAAGAATCATTTAATAACAATGACAGAAACGATCTACAAGTGCTTCTTAAGCTTCTCAAAAATATGTGCGAATATGAAATGAAAACTGACCTTTTGTTTAAAATTGCGTGAACAACGCTGAGTAAACATTTTTATTAATGAAACGGTTTTTTTACTGTCATGATGAACTCGATGTGCACTTTAAGCTTTTAAATGTTAATCGAGGCGAATCGTGAAATGCAATTCCAAATTTTCATATTCATAATTTCCGTAATCCGCACTATGGGAGTCTACGAAATATTCAAGACCACGTTTCTCATTTTATTATGGAATAAAAGTTTATTTTATTATCATATGTTGAAACATGCTAATATGTTAAAAATATACAACACACAAAAGAAAAAAAAACAGAAACTAATTTATAAATATGAAAAACAGAGATTCAGTGTGATACGAGAGAAGCAAGTGTGAAAAATTTCAATTTGTCAATTAATGATGTAATAGGATTCCAATAAAAAAAAAGTGTTATCTTTCTCCTTCCTCTTTATTTTCTTGTGGAATACTTCAAAGCAAATAAAATCTGGCGGATATTTATTGTCAGGAACATGTCATACATCTGCTTATCTACTTAAGAAAGAAGTTTTCAGCAAATAAAAATGCACCAGAAGTAATTATGCAGAAGACTCCATTGATGAATCTCAGTTATCTAAAATATATAATTAAAAATCATTCAATCGCTATTTTTTTAAAAAGAAACAAAATGTAAACAACCGCCCGTTCTATAATTTTTTTCCCCCGAAATCAAAACTTACCATAGAAAGAAAAGCTTCCAAAACAAAAATAAAATGCAAGTCATTGGCTTTGTGTGGTCGCTTACTTTTATTCTGGTGAGTTTTATTTTCTTGTAAAGTCAAATACCTCTCTGTTAATAAATTTTCATAACGTTTCTTCGACATTTCATTTCACTCGTGGGTATAACGCGCAATAAAAGTAAATAATCAACCTTTTCGGAGATTTTGAACTCGTCGCACGTGTGATCCTAACGAAGATAAAAAAAAGTTAATTCAAACTCGAATCTAAGTTTCATGTCTCTCTTCAGACAAATCTAAATAAATGTTGAAGTCTGTGCAATAAGTTTATGGACTACGATCATAAACATTTTGCCTTGTTTATTTTTAATCTTTCCAATCTTTTGGTAAATGCAAGACGTATAATGAAGTCGAAGCAATCAAGTAATTATAAAAATATTAAAATATCTAGATTGTAAGTGTTCGTGGCATTTGTAAACAAAAAGAAAGCAGTGTACATATAATTAAAATTAAATTGAACTCTGCTAATGGCCAAGACAAAATAAATACCGAATGCATACCTAAATACATTTTTCTTGTGTAGGACTTTTACTTGCCTCTTAGAACTTATAAATTTTATGACAAAAAAATAAAATGAAATATAAAAATTTGAATAAAAATATAAAAATTATTAAAAAAATGAGAAAATTGTTTGAAACTATTTTCTAAATATTTACAGATAAAATATTGAAAGTCATTTCAAAATTTTTCATGTATCTATTTCAGCTTTACTGTTTTTGTGTACTTTTCTCTGTTAGTTTAACTCAAAGGTAAAGCAAAGCGTAGATTTCATCCATTAATATTTTTACATCTTTTGCTAATCTGTCGTCGACATGCCAATGACATCCATGAACGAATAAATCATTTCGTCATTGCCAAAATTATTAAGAATTTCAGTGTTTTTATCAATTAGCGAAATATTGAGTAAATGAAATTAACAAAAACGTTTCTTTCATGCCATGCCATCACGAGATATAACGTAGATGCTCATGAAGCAAGTACTACTGCATCTGATATACTTATAACTTTTATGTATATTTAAAGACGGAAAAACTTGAATTTTTGAATGTTTTCGTAACCCTTCGAGGAGAAGCGCTAACAAGATTTAACAATCTGGATATAAACCTGCGTATCGAGGTATTTCCAAAGCCTCTTTCAAAGGTTTCGTTACACTGAAGATTTCCACACAAGTGTTTTTATAAGCTCATCAAATTCTTCAAACTACGCCACACTAAAGGAAGGTCGGAGAATGTCGTAGCTTCTTAGTTTCTGGAATCTCCCATTAGAAAATTAGTTTTGAGAATGATGAACGAAGATGGGAAATCTCAATTGAAAGTTGAAGAACCTCGATTAAAATCCAACCAATTAATTGATTTATTTCACCTTTGAAACCTTCACACAACAATCTAATTTGTATTTTTCTACTACTATTCCTTCTTTCATAATGATATTGTGTAAAAGCAAGTTAGGTAAATACTTCAAATTTCTACATGGATAATCTTGAAAATTGACTTTTATTGAACCAATGTGATACAATTCGAATGTTTAGTGATGTAATTGCAAGTCCAAAACGAAGAAATTAAAAAGTTATTGCCCTTGAATATTTATCCAGTTTTATGCTTACAAGTTTCGAGTTTGTTCGATCGCAGCGTGATCTTTTCTTTCAATTGGAGTTGAGAAACTTTTTTCGTTTTCTTTTCGTTTTTTGATGACTTGTAAGTTTTGGAATTCTGCGTATTTAATTCAATACCTTAGCATGAAGCATTTAAATGCATTGCATGGGTGAATTTAAAAAATTCTTTCCAAGTAGAAAAAGTAAATAAGCGGCATATTCTGAAATATCAAAGTAGAAGATGAACAAGTCTGAATTTATCAATAGAACAACCTGAAGCAGTAATAAAATAAATTCCAACACAGGATCTGTCTCTTTTACCATTTTAAATGGTCAATTTATTTATCAGACACCCATGAAGAAGCTGGTTGTCTTCAGAATACTCTTTAAATACATGAACGTTGTCATTTTATATGTGTTTATGTTTCTCTTCGTCCTTGAGAAATTTTGCTTTAATTAATGCCATTATTTTATTTTTCGTTTTCATTCCAGTTTATTACTTAATTTTTAAACTTAATTTTTCAATGATCCACAAAAAAAATTGATATAGGTTTTGCATAAAGACTTAGTCAAACAAAAAAAAAAGATAAGTAACAGTAAACAATCAAGTAAGTAGTGAAAGGTATAATCGAAAGCTTACTTTCGACCTAGGTTAAAAGAAATTAAGTTGTCATAGTCACATTAATAACCGATTATGTGAATTTCTTTTTTAATGGACATTAATGATCGTTCAGTTATTCATATTCTAGATATTCAACATGTCTAAAATTGTTTAACAGGCATTTACCTCTATCATAATGATAAATCAAATGACAAATTGTTTGAATAAGTTTACGATTATTCAAACGATTCTTGAATTCTATTGATTGATTTTTTATTTACAACACCTGCAGATACTTCATCACTGAGTATTAAGTTATCATCAAGGACTAATAAATATCTTGTGGATTGTGATTTATACGACTGAATTAACATAATAGGTACAAGCGGGAAGAAGCTTTACTTCAATTTAATTCAATTAACCATATTGAAAATTATTTTAACCGTGGTCTTTACTCACAAATTGTTTACATTCACAATTAACGACAGTTTCAGTCAACAAAATCTGAAGATGTCATTATTATTATAGCTTATAATTAAAATAATTTAATCTTTCCTTTTATATTTTAATTTAATCTTTTCAATTTAATAAATCGCCAAATAACTACATTATTCGACTTCCTACGAAATATTTGCAAAATTTATTTTATTAAAATATAACGGAAATATAAAATTCAAAATCATTTCCGAATATTTTTTCGAACATTTTCATCCGAAGATCCGATTGACTTTCACACATCAGCCGGTTTTTGGCAATCTGATAAACAATAAATTTTAAACATAACATCGAAGTAGATAGATAACTTTCGCAACATGCCTAAGGATAAAGTTAAGATTAATGTCAAAGATCGTTTAGAGGACAATGTCTTAGATCTGAGTTTATCAGGTATGTGAACATTGGGGAAGTCGTTGGAACATGATTTGACAGATTTATTTTAATGTAAAATCAATTTTTAGAAATTGAACATGTTCCAGTCAAAGATATCGCTACAGTCAAGCGTGCGACTGTTCTTGATTTATCAAATAATAATATTAAATTTCTTCCGGTGAGTAAAAATTCTTTTACGATTCCAACAAAAAAGTTGTGTCGTGGCTTTGAAAAATTTTACAAAAGTTTAATATTGATAATTTCAGAAAAACTTTGGCACATATCTCACTCATTTAACAAGATTGGATCTAAGCAAAAATCAATTAAAGTTCCTTACAGATGACTTCGGTAATCTAATCAATCTGAAACATCTGGATTTGTATAACAATCAATTAGAGAGCCTTCCAGTTACTTTTGGCCATTTAATTAAACTTCGCTACTTAGATATGAAAGGAAATCCACTTCAACCAGCATTACTAAAAGTTGTTGGTCCATGTCTTACATCTAAAGATTGTCTAGAAGCTGCAAAACAAGTAATTCCATTCATGAAGGTTCTAGAAGCCGAGTTCCTTCGCGATCAGAAAAAGAAAGAAGAGGAAGAACAGCAAAGAAAGGAAAAAGAAATTCAAGAAGAACGTAACAGAGTTTGGCAAGCAAAAAAAGCAGCTCGAAAGGAGCGAATTATGCGTGAAAGACAAGAGAAACTTGAGATGAAAACAACTGACGTAAACGTTGCTCAAAAATCTTCTTATAATGAAGTAACGGAGAAGACCGAAAAGATCATACAAAATCAATCTAAAATAGTCTTAAAGACTGATTCAAAACGCTCATGTTTCATTCGATTGCTGACAACTTTCTTTATTGTTCTAATCATTTTTTCATTAACATTTATTGTCTCATTCAAATTCTTTCCAAATTTAAGCAATGAAATCCTTACACTTCTCCCAGAGGATCAACAATATGTGTTCAGATATTTTTATCAAAAATCTAGCGAAATGATTTCAAGTTTCTTTCAAAAAGCTTTAAGTTTGTATGAAAAATAAAATTTCTATATCTCAATTTAATAAAATTATATGAAAAAAAATTGAATTAAACTTTTATTTTCTTTAATGATGAAAAATAAATCATCGCAATTGATATCAAGGGACACTTAAAGATAACATGAATCGAAAAAGATAAAAAGCTGTTTAACCAATTTAAAAGCGTTTAAAAAATCATTTGTCTTTGGTCTGTTAAGTCTTTGAAGAACGACACGGATTTTTTCGCGATTCTTTCTTTGTTAGGACTTGTGAGATTAACAGCGTGAATCCCAAACTTTTCAGTGAATCCTTCCATCCATTCAAAGTTATCGATAATACTCCAAACAGTGTAAGCTACGACTTTACAACGATCTTGATGAATAGCCCTATGAATTGCTGCAAGATGTGCTTTAATGTAATTTATACGATCGTCATCATCAAGCTGCCCATCGTCGGAATATCCATTTTCTGTTATCAAAACTGTTGGATTATTGTACTCCGCTTTTATCCATTTAAGTAGATCGTGCAATCCTTGTGGAACATTGTAAAGCCACCAGGATTTTGCTTTCTCCCATTTCTCGTCAATAATGAAATCTACTCCAACATCACTCTGCCAACTGCGTTCTCCGTGAACTTCAGTCATTGGAGCAACTAATCGACTTGTGTAATAATTTAAAGCCAGAAAATCAGCAGCACCAATTAAACTATTCTTCATCTCATCATCCATTATGGGCAATCTTGACAGTGGTTGGTCAACAGTTTTATCTTTAATTTCATCAATCATAATCTTGGGATAATTTCCTTCTGATGAGAATATTGGATGTGTGAACCAACCTAGTTGAAATTGTTGTGTCTTCTCAGCAACTTCTGGTGAAACACCAGAATCGGGATAAAAAAAATTGCTAAACAAACAAATTCCAATTTCTCCTGTCTGTTGTTCGCGATAATCGTCGTTGTAAAGTTTATAAGCTGCAGCATGAGCTTGCAACATATGATGACCACACAAATACTCGCCAAAGCCAGGAGATTCTATCAAAGGTGGCTTCGTGGCACTCGAGTAACCATCAATGCAAAATATCCAAGGCTCATTAAATGTTATCCAACGTTTGACACGATCACCAAAGCTTTTGAAAAGAACATTTGCGTAAAATTTAAAGTGTTCAACAAGAATTGGGTCTTGAAATCCTCCCAAATCTTCAATATATTGTGGAAGGTCCCAGTGGTACATCGTGACCTGCAATTTAATTTCTTTTATTTCTGAAAAGTGACAGATAATAATCTCTTACTAATGGTTCGATGTCTTCTTTAATCAACTCATCTATTAGGTTATTATAGTAATCGATACCAGCTTGGTTTATGACATTTGTTTCATTCACAATTCGTGCCCAAGATATTGAAAATCGATAAACTTCCAACTGATAAGAAAAGTTAAAAGAAAACTTGAAAATTTCTATTGACTTTAGGTAATTCTTTTTAAAACATTTACCCCTGCATTTTTCAATGCTTTAACGTCTTCTTTATAAAAATGATAAGAATCAGCTCCAACATCAGCATTTGATTGGTCTTTGATGAGTTCTGGTCGAGTATGAACTAAAGTATCCCAAATATTTGGTGTTTTTCCATCAGCATTCCAACCACCTTCTATTTGGTAACTTGCTGATGCAGCTCCAAATTTGAAATCTTTTGAGAACTCGTAAATATGTTGTTCCCTTTCATTTGTGAAAAGCCAAATCAAAGCAGTTACAACACCAGCAATTATTAAAACTACAAGAAGAAGTATCAACCAACGTATCACTTTCATTGTAAAAACTCTGAACGATTACTAAACTAAAGAAGGAAAGAAGTCTGCTGAATTAGCTACTTACTTGCTTATCATTCGCGGTAGATATCACTTATCTTTGACCATTGTCAGATTAAATTTAATACTTGAATTGGAATTAACTTAAACACGTTTTAATTTGATTTTTGATTCAAATTATCTTCAACTGTTTATTTTTTTTATTGTGGTTTTATTTAAACTTTTTTAAAATTTCCAAATGTTGTTGATGTTAGTTTGATTATTGATCATTAACTTGATTCAATAATATTAAACTCAAATGTTTTTACTTCCAAAATATTAAATTTAAGTAACAAAACCACATGAACAAAATTATATTTTAAATTAGAATTAATTGAACGGCGTGATACGTTGATGAAGGATGAACCCAAAATATATATAAAAAGAGATTCACTTTTTGAATACTATGAATGAAAAAGATTAACATTGTGAGTTTTATTTGATAACAAGCCACTTTACTCATTCTCTTTTTTTCAGTTTATAAACTTTCAGTTGATTTGAGAACGATTAAGTGACAAAATGTGGCTGAAAATTCTCCACGTTTTATTTCTTCTTTTTTTAATGATTAATGAAGATTCTGGATCATCTCACGAACCTAAAGTGATATCAGCTTATAAAGATTTACAAAAGTATGAAGCGAAATGGGAAAGTCTTGATAAACGACCTCTCCCTAGATGGTATGACGATGCAAAAGTTGGTAAGGTCAATTTTGTTTGATCGTTTCCAAATATTAACTGCTATAATAAAAAAATTTACATTTAAAAAGGCATTTTCATCCATTTTGGCGTTTATTCATCGATAAGTTTTGGTTCTGAATGGTTTTGGACGAATTGGAAAAACGAAAAAGTTCCATCTTACATTGAATTTATGAACCGAACACAGAAGCCTTCATTCACTTATCAGGTGAATTTCACAATTTGCACTAAGTAGTTAAGAAGATTATCTTTCTAAATGTTTTCTATTCTCCTTCTTTTTAAACAAAGAATTTCGCGGCAGATTTTACATGTGAATTGTTTAATGCAACTGAGTGGGCAGAAATATTTTCGGATTCAGGTGCACAATATGTCGTGTTGACAAGTAAACACCACGAAGGCTACACATTATATCCATCATCTTATTCATTTAGTTGGAATTCAGTTGATGTTGGACCTAATCGAGATATTATCAAAGAACTTTCACAAGCTGTTCGTGATAAAAAGTTGAAGTTTGGACTTTACTATTCATTGTTTGAATGGTTCAATCGAATGTATCAAAGTGATAAACAGGATGGATTTTTGAAGCATAAATACGTCGACAATAAAGTTTGGCCAGAACTTATCGAGATCATTGAACGATTTGAGCCTGAAGTGATTTGGAGTGATGGCGATTGGGAAGCGCCAGATGAATATTGGAAAGCAAAAGAATTTTTGGCGTGGCTTTACAACAGCAGCCCTGTTCGTGAAACTGTTGTGACAAATGATCGTTGGGGTCTTGGAACAAATTGTAAACATGGAGATTTCTTCACATGTTCCGATCGATTTAATCCTGGCGTTCTTCAAAAGCACAAATTTGAGAATGCAATGACCATTGACAAGAAAAGTTGGGGTCATCGAAATGACGCTAAGTTGGATGATTTCTTAACCTCAGCAGAGTTGATAAGAGAACTCGTCACGACAGTAGCTGTTAATGGAAATTTGTTAGTCAACGTTGGTCCGACAAAATATGGAACTATTGAAGCAATATTTGCTGAAAGGTTGAGAGACATGGGACGATGGCTTCGAATGAATGGAAAAGCAATTTATGGAACACGACCATGGGAATATCAAAATGAAGGGAAGGATATTTGGTACACTATGAAAGTTGGATCTAATCGGATGAGTGTCTTTGCAATTGCTTTAGAATATCCTTTCGATACGAATAAGATTGTTTTCAATAAAATTGGCAGCTACATGGATAGTTCAAGTCATGTTACTTTACTTGGTTATCCAGATAAGATAAGTGTAGGAAAATTAACTTCCAAACAACAATTCTTTACTAAAAATTTTTTTATTATAGCATAAATTCATCGGCTCTGATAAATCATTGGAAATAACTTTTCCGGAAAAACGGCTAACAGATAAACTTGGGTTGTCTTTGGCATGGAGCTTTGAAATTGATATTTCTTTGAACTCCAGCAGCTCATCGATTTTTTCCATACTTGAAATGTAAATTTCACTACCTAGTTAAGAATTCAGAGAAATTCTGCAAAAAAAATATTTTAGTGATAAATGTTGAATAAATTTAAGAATTTTTATTTCGCCTTAAAGTTATGCAATTCCTTATACAAATTTGCTTGAATAAATTGACACATAATGTGGTAAGTAAGCTACGCAATTAAGCCTTTAAAGCACTTATAAAAATTTCCAGTTTCAATTTGATGAAAGATTTTAAACAATTATAATTTATTTTAATTTCCAAATCTTAAATTTATGAATAATTCGTGGGAAAATTGATTCTGTTAAAATCACAGCTAAACATTAGGTTTTAAATGTTAAATCGTGTAATTTAAAAACACTCGTCAATGATA